TAGGTGCTCACAGCAGGGGCCAAATCCACAGCCTTCCTCAGCTCTCAACACTGCAGGGCATCAAGGCCGAGCACAGCGCTCCCCTTGCAGGCTTTGCACTGGGACCACAGCCACAAGCTGCAGCAAGAGCAGAGCAAAGCTCCCCTCAACCAGCCTAGGGGCAAGTGAGTTTGTTGGGGATACCGGGGAAACCCTGAGGCTGCACAACCCTCAGTTCAGCCAAAGCCTCCCAGCAAGCTCCAGCCCAGCCCAGCGGGACGCGATGGCAAATGTGGGATGGGAAGAAGGAACTGCACTTTGACCTCTTCTCAAACCCCATCCCCAACACTGGAGCTGAACAAAAAGGTCTCAGACGACCGAGCCTGAGCAGCCTCCTACCAGTGGCCATAGTCCAGGTGCTGCCTGATCAGTGTATGGGGCTGCACCGTCCCGTAAGCGTCCACTGCAGGCATGTTCAGATCATCGATGAAGTACACAAGCTTCTTGGTACCCGGAGGGCCGTAATTTCTGCCAGCCTTTTTGTCCAGAGGCTTCTCAAGCACACCTGTATGGAGGCAGAGGGGCAAAGCTAAGCTTCTGCGGGAGTCATTGCTGCAAAATAAAAATGATTTCTCAACCCAGCTTGATGCCATACTGTGTATAGCTGCAGCAGCCCAGGAGGAGCAGAGCTATGCACAGGACAGGCAGGACCCATCTCACGACACAGGGGGAAGCCCCTGGTTCCCTCCAGCTGGCATCTGGGCTGTTTATTTCTTTTTGGGGAGGAAGAGCTGGTCTCGACACAGGATGTTGCTTGCCAGCAGGCCAGTGGCCGTCCCCGGGCTGCAGCTCTGGAGCAGCTGGGAGCCCTGCACGGGGCTGGCAGAGACCCTTGGGCAGCATTTCAATCTGACTCGACCCAGATTGGAAAGCTCTCAATTCCTCTTTTCAAAGCAAATATGGCAAAGCAACAGTCTGCTATAAAACAGGTCTACTTCAGAGAAAACAAAAGCTTTTCATGCAACATAAAGCCTTTTGAATCCCTTCTGCATAATTTTTTAAACTAAATCTTGCTGAGGTTATTCTGACCCATAAGACAGAGTGGTGAATATCCCCTGCTGCCTGCCCCAGAGATACAGAGACAGCACCGTTAACACAGACAGTAGTGGCTGGGACCTGAGAAGGAACAAGGGAGATGCTGTAGGCCCATTAGCAAAGCTGATTTTGTGAATGCAAGTACATTTTTTTACCTCTGTTAGACAGAAGAATTATGTGATTTCAGGGCCAAATTCTTGGACATTTTCAGAACAATCCAAGTAATATTTTTAATCTAAATGCACTAAATACTCACAAGTTCTCTGATGTTCTCTCAAGCATTATCCAGACCTCTAGATAATATGACAAGACTCAATTCCAGCATGAGCTGTCAAATTACCACCCAGTTTTAATTAGGGTCATGCATGAGCAAGGGAAAACATGGAGAGAACAGTTTCTCATTTCAAAGCTTTGGAAGATTTTAATTTGTTTTAGCAGAACGCTGAGGTTATGTGTTGCTCTAGATTATAAAATGTGGGGAATATTTATAATGCTGGTCTGATATTTAATAAAAATCACCCCACAGTGCAGCACATAATGTTTTATAGGTTATTGATCTCTTTGACTGCGGCCCAAGCAACCTTTACTGACTCAGTCAGTGGAAAAGCAAACAGAAGCAGCTCTCCTCTGCCCAGATCTTGGGACGGGTTTTCTGCCATGTGCTTATTTGGAGAGCATCCCCATTCTCAGGGACTTGCTGCTCTCCCGAAGATGGAGGCAGAATTTGTTTCATTTACACAGTTTTGGGTTGTCAACAGACCCATAAGGTGCTGTAGAGCAGCATGGTAAGTAGCAATTCTTTGTGATTAGGGAAGACTGGCAAATGTAAATGGGACTGGGAATTTATATAAATATCTCCTTGTGAAAATGTACACTTAAGCCATTCATTATCATGCACAAAAGTTATTAAGGAAGATCTATATTCTGTTTTTTTCAGATCACAAATCTTTTAAAACACCGATTTTTTTTACTGCTTCGGTGCATTGCAGACAGCTTGTCTTTCCCACTACTCAAAATTCAGCTGATTTCTTGCCACAGACAGTTGCTGCACAAAGGAATGAATTCTGCTAAGAAAAATGATGAATCTTTCCTCAGTGGAGTCTCTCTCTGCTTTCAATAAAACCACAGTATTTGAAATTTCTGATAGCAAGTTAAATTAAGTGTTTCAAATAAGCATTTAATTTAAATTTAATTAGTCCTTAATTAACATATAAAATCAGCCCTTTTTTGAGGTTAAACAAGTGTGCAGGAGATTCGTCACACTGAAATGCAATTACTGGGGATCAAGTGACATGTTCGTGAAAGTTGCATTTTAATTCAAAGCCATATCTCACAATAATAATAAAGGGTCCGTGTCTCTGCCTCTGAGATCCTGACATACTCAAATTAGCACCTGAAAGAAACAATCGCTGCAAAGGAGACTTAGCAAGTGTGACACCTCTTGCCTGCTGGCTGTTGATCAAGGGCCGGGGGGGGGGGGGGCGGGGGGCAACCCAAAACCAAAAAAAATCAACACTTATTGCAATTTTCTCAAGGCAGATCCGGAGCGAAAAGGTGCTGCATGACAGAATCCAGGGCTACATCTGACAAAGGAGCAAGAGGAGCAGAGGTCCAAGAGGGCACAAAGCAGAGAGAGCAGCAGACCAGAGGTCCAGGGCAATGGGCTGAGAGAGCAACAAATGCCACGGAAAGTGGTATTCAGTCACAATACAGCAAAGAAAATAGCAAAACTGGTCCCAGGCTTGGACAGAGAGAGTGTCTGGCTCCTTTTAACCCCTGGGCACACAGCACTTCTGTAAGCCACAGGGCCTGCAAGGATGGCTTGGACCACGTACCTGTGCTTCCCCTAAAGGGTGCACGTTCTGCACTGTATAAACCTCTGCACCAACAGGCACTTTGTCTAGGAAATGACTGGCTTTCAGATTAGGCACTTTTAAAAATAATAAATAAATAAATAAAAATTCTAAAACTGCTTTGTATTCATGTTTTACAAATTTAAAGAAGTGCCTGCTGGGGGAAAAAAAAAAAAAAAAAAAAAAAAAAGTGGCCAACTGGCAAACTACACAAAAAGGGACAAATTAACTCTAAAAAATGAGCAGTAGGGAACCAGGCCAAGCAGTATAAATCATGTTTCCTGGTGCAAACCTCACAGCCACATCTTCATCTACACACAAGATGACTTGATTCCTCTGCAGAGGAAGAAAGTCGCCGTATCAGCCCATAGCTCACCGCCAGAGTAAATAGGGACGCGCTGCCAGGTCTGCCTGTATAAATCTCAACACCTGCACACACTCACCCATCCAGATAGAGATAAATGAGCACACATTCCCCCACTCAGGCAGCTGAGCAGACAGACAGACAGCTCAGCCCATTTACCAGCTCAAGGGCATGTCACAGAGACGCCGTGCAGGGAAAAAAGGAAAAGCAGCACCTGGGGGGAAAAAAGGGAGGCTATAACCATCACACCACGCAGAGCTACAAGACTGGGCAAAATGTGAGATTTTACCCTTTTTTTGCTTGACGGACATGTAAGCCAAATAATTTGCATTCAGACTGTGGGCAGAGGCACAGGCACCATCTCGCGGGGCTGATCAGCACAGGCGGGAGAACCGGGGAGGGTGGGCACCAGCAAGACCAGAAACCCTTCAAACCTGCCCCCGAAAGCCGCCGTGGCCCCATGGCACGGCCCCGGGTTACAGAGCATGGGCTGAGCCTGTGCTGTCACCGCTCTGCAAGCGGACCACACCGAGAGGGCAATTTAAATTCTGACACCTTTCTTAAAATGTCTGTGGTGTCGAGAGCCTGGCAGAGCACGGATGAAGCCCCAGACACTTGCTGCTTTTGGCATTGATCTGGGCTGTGAGCATGTCCCCACCTAGCACCACTTGGCCAGGAACAACCCAGATGGTGAAGGTTAAATCCTCTGTCTCACTGATGCTTCACAGACCGTGGTCCTGTATGGGGCTGGGGGAGTAAAAGGGTTTCAGGACATTTGGGTCAAAGCAAGCTACATAAAGGAAGTATTTTGTTTTATGGTGACGCATAGCTGTTATTCAGCTCAAAACAAACCAGCTTTTTTCATTCTTGGTTAATAAATACATGTAAAAGCAGTATTTTATTTCTCTTTAGGTCAACTGAAAGTGAAAATACCATTCCAAAATAAGCCACTTTTCAAGAATTTCCTCCTTTCTCTTTGTCTCTGAAGAGACCACACAGAAAACCTGACCTTTGCTTGGTCTTAAACTTAATTTTTCACTGAAGTGCCAAAATCCTCCTTAGCAATACTCTTATGGGCTTCCCCAGGGTCAGAAATTCCCTGGGGCTCTGTGCCCCCCAGGGTCAGCAAGTCTTGTGCCCCCTGGGGAGATGGGGATGCTCCATGGGAGGACACTGAGCTGCAGCAGGATGCAGAGGACAGCACCAGGGACCGGCAGCCCTGGCTTACAGCCTGCACGTTTCCATTAGCACCATCCTTGCTGCTAATTGGGATGCAATTCCTGTCATTGCACCCTGAGGACAGTTTGGATCCTAGCCAAGAAACCCATCCTATTCAGCATGGTTTTAAATTCAAGCATATGAAAGACACACATCAAGTCAAGTACAAGCTGTGTGCTGTACACAACAGCAGCAGATTTAAGCACGTGCTTTGGCACATCCCTGAACCAGAGTTGTGGTATTCTGAATTGAAATTCTCATGTTGGAAAACGTCATCTTCCACAAATCCAGGGGTGCGCTGACCTGATAGCTTCACAGGGGGATTTCAGAGCTGGCGAGTGTCAGTGCAGTGCCCACAAACAACACGGGCAGCTCGTCCCCGGGTCTTCCCCTGAGCACCACAGTGCACACCCTGCTCCAAATCCCGCTGGACACCCCAGGAATTTGATAACCTGGCAGGCAGAAGTCCTGGGACTCTTCCATTGCCTTACCTTGCAGCATGGCAGAGGTGGTGTAGTAGTTAAAAGGGACCTTCTTCACCACATATGCATCCATGTCCAGTGAGGAGAGCTTGTCCCCCACCAGCACAGACTTCCCCGTGCCAGCAGTGCCCACCAGCATCACTGGGCGCTGGCGCTCCAGGAGCCTGTCCATGAAGTACCGCACACGGACCGTCTCAGTGGTGGGCACCAGGCAAGCCTGAGAGGGGCATAACAAGCAGGTCAGTGTCCCCATCCTCGCCACAACCCCCCAGGCACGTTCTGAGGAGAAGTAAAATTGGGAGAGGTGTGAATGAATGAGGTGACCCCAGTTTCGAGACTGCACTAAGAAGGGAACGAGACGCTGCTGCCAACCATTAAAATCAAACTGTCTGTATGGATGAAACTTTGACAGGTGGATGCTGGGAGCAGCATCTGGATATCCCCACAATCACACATTTTGATAAAATGGTAACAATTTTTACAAGCCATCTGCTCACTCTGGCACTTCTGGAAGGAAAGAAAAGTGTATCTAGCAAATGCAGTTCATTAACTGCAGGAACTCTCATTTTTTGTCCAAATCATAAAAGCATCTCTATTTTCAGACAGGCAGAATGACGACATGGTGTCTCAGGGGCTTTGTCACTACATTGGCTCACATCCCACTTCTCTCTGCAGGCCAAAGGCACCCCCATCCTGGCGGGGGTGCCAGCTCCTGGGTCATGGGGTAGCTCTGAGCCTGCCCCCCGTGTACATCGTTTATATTTGGAAGATAGATGGAGGATGTGTCTTCACAGACAAAGCACAGGAAAGGAAGATGGGTAATTTAGCTGTATCTCATAGAGAATTCCCTCCTTATTATGAAGTGCTTGACCTTTAATGAGACTTCATTGAAATGCCCGCATACAGTCACTAAAATGCACTTACTCCTCCCAGACAAAAAGCACGCAAGGTTTGCATACCTGTAATGGCATTTCTGGATCAAATTCAAACTGGGGAATAAGTTTAGACCAAGGCTCAAACTTCTTTGTTTCTGGATCGATGTAAAAGTCAAAGACTGTGCCCTGAGAGGGAAACTTGATAGTCTTGAATTCTGCCACCCACCACTTGCTGAACTCCACTCTGTAGTCCACAAGCTGCAAGACAAAAAGTGCAGAAAATATGCGAATCTGGAGAAATTCATTAGTAGTGGAGAATGTTATCTATCCTAGTGCACCCGAGTGGGATTAGTCCTTAAAATATATTCCACAGCATAACAATCGTATCCTTTTTCCTATTATTAAGCCTAATCTTTAATTTTCTTAATTTCTTCTCATCACTCCTATTTATTCACCTAAATAATTTATCCTCTGTGTTGATCACTCTTGGTACGTCTGAGATTAGATAGATGGATCGGTTTGAAAAAGAGAAATACGTGCCTATGACTAAACAGACCTCTTGATTGATTCTTGGTGCCTACTTCTTTCAACAGACAAGGACACAACATCCGTCTACATCTCTGGTCATGGTTAGTCAAAGCATGCATACAAAAGCCTTTCCTCATAAATCACACCATTCTATTAATACTTAGTTGTTGTCTTCTGGCCCTTTTTCAATCCACAGTGTTTTGGAGCAGCAGGATTGCAGACACCACTGTACCAAAGCACCAGAGAGGGACCATGCCCCTTTGGCTCTGCTGTGTTTCTGCACTGCCATATCGCCCTGAGCACCCGCTTTCTTGTCTTGCCCCATTATGTCTTTCTACGAATGGAGATTTCGGAGCATCTGAATTTTTTCAAGAGCTGGGGTGACAGTTTTGTTGGGGTAGGACTTGCAAAATGTACTTAATCCCCTCCCCTGCCCCAAGTCTCCTGTATGACACTGGGCCAGCCGCTCTGCCTGTATGCCTTCCCATGCAGACAAAGGGGACTAGAGCCTTCTGCCCTGGGGAGAAGGGGGAAGGGGAAAGAGGGGAAAAGCACCCTTAAAAAGATCTCTGTGAAATACCGGATGCATAATTTAGCTAGTTTTAACAGCACAGTTTCTTCCTGGGGCACCTGTTAGTCTCTCCTCCCCACAGCCATTCAACGTGCTTTCCCAGGCCAGAAGCCCACGTGGGAACGCCAACACATCGCCCATAGAGTGTTCAGCCTCCCAGGAAACCTGGGCTTGAAGCTGAACTGAACTGAGTGTCCTCTGTAATGTCTCCTGAGCTACCATCCATCAAAAAACCAGAGGATTTGAAAAACACGTTATTAATATCCACAATTTTGCAGTCTTGTGCTATTCAGAGGGGCAGAATAATTGTAATTCTCTATTCTCTTGTTGTTATAACTCCTCAGTGCCGGCAGCAGAGTAGCCTGCAGAGGAGAGGGATGTGCATCAGTGCTAAAAGCTTTCTCACAAGGGTGCCCTTACCCCTGCTCAGGCAAACTGCCTGCAGCTGCATTGTGATGGGCTGCCTGCCCTCCCTAACCGAGCAGTTAAGTGGAGCTGCTCCAGCCCCAGCTCTATTGCCAGAACAGCGTCGAACTCAAACTGCTTCCTTAATAAAAATTCCATATGGATTTCCGCTAATTTCAGAGCCTGGAAATGGCAAATCTACCGTCTGTTTTTTATACATGGGCCCCGCTACCCACCGACAAGCACGGAGTAGTGGGAAACCTTCCAGACTGTTTCTCCTGACATTTCGGCAGCAAAAGGTCAGCACGAAGGGCACCTTCAACGGAGAGCAATAAACAGATTTTATATTGGATCATTTTTCATCAGGCTCCCCCCTCACTTGGACTGCCGTATCCTCACCCTCTAAGCTCTGACATTTCCAGCGCATCCCAAGCGGCAGTGCACAGGCCAGCCCCAAAGCCAGCCCTGCCAGAGGGACGCAGCCCACCCAGGCCAGCGCGCTGCGCCCCGGCCCCGCTGCCCGGGCAGCCAGGCAGGCAGCACTCGGCCAAGCCTGCCACGCCGGGGCCGGCTCTGCCACGGCGCGGGGCAGGCGGCGCCCACCCGCCACGCGGCTGCACTCCAGCTGGCTTGCTCGAGGAGCTGCAAGCTCCTATAATTAGACGGCAGCTTGGACTGCTGAAGCGAGGACAAGAAGTGCTTCTCAGGCTTTGCTGTGGCTTTTTCTTTTCTTTTTTTTTTTTAAGTCACCCTGCACTGACAACACTACGGGTGACTGTTTCCCAGCTGGCACATAGGAAACGGAGGGTTAAGTCCTCCACAAGAACCAAGAAAGCTAGTCACACACAGGTCATTCAAAGGCCAGGAGGCAGGATGGCACTCAATGAGCACCAAGCTGAGCTTGATCTGTGTTATCACTTCCTGAACCATCTACTGCTTGGCATGAAGCAAATGTGAAGAGTCCAGCAGATGTTGGTCTAGCATTGAGGCACATGGAAAAAACACAAAGAGACCCCAGTGAGCACCTGAGCAGCCTCTGAGAACATCAGTGCCACCACCTGACCTGGGGAAGTATCTCTGGTGTCAGGTCCATGGAGAGACTTCCCACATAGTCCAGACAACACAGAGCTTGACACAAGCCCGCTAGAGACCAGCTATGGATCTCTGAGCCCTCGACAGCAGTGTGCTGTCACTGGGCAGACCCACACATCGGGATGACATGGGTTAGACCTGGGGATGAGGTATCCTCCGACCAGTAGGTGCAACCACCTGACAGGCTCCCAGCAAGGATCGGGCAGAACCAGAGTGAGCAGCTCCAGCAGATGCCAGGCCTACTTCCACCTGCAGGCTTTCTGGCTACTCACACTGCTCCCCGTGCCAACTGATGAAAACCTGATACTCAAAATCCAGGTCTTCAGGTGCCACACGCACTCTCAGACCCCTCTACAAGTGCCTCAGGTTTCTCCTGCCTGCCTCTGAACCAGTCACATGAAAAACCTCCAGCTTGCACAGTCATCAATCTGGAAACAGCAATGCCAGCAGAGGGTGGAAAGCTGTCCTGCAAGCACCTGCACGAAACCATGGAACAGAGCCAAGGGTGGCCCCAATGTCAGCAGTGTTGGCAGCAGGGCTCTGACACACAGCCCACTATCTTCTTGTCCATTATTGCTGTTAACAGTCGGAAGTTGTAAAATAGCAGCATCTTTTCCAATTATCTAGAAATCAAGAGACAACCCTGCTGTGCCAAGCTGAGCCACGCAGCCAGGAAGCGGGGCGGAACGGGACACAGGGGCAAATGGAAATGCCCATTTCTCCTCTCCTGTGCACAAGACACCAGGGACTAACAGAGAACAGGGAGGTCAGAGGCAGCAGCACAACCCTGCTTCCCCCAGGCAAGTCTGGAGAAGATCCTTCCCAAAATCCCTGTTGTTCACATGCTACAGATCCCACCAAGGCAGCTATGTTTCAGACCAGACGGACATTTCTGTGCTTCTCCCATGTTTTAAGGACCAGGAACTGAAAGGAGGCTGAAATGTGCTGTATTGAATGCTGACCTTGAGAAAACTGTCTTATAATAAATAATATTGACTATGTAGGAGATCACGCCCACCTTGTCTAATGCAAGCTGATGGATTCAGAGACTGACAGCTGCAATTAATCCATACGATAGAGTACTGCGGGAAGCACCATGGAATGCAGTGCCCTGTCTTCCTCTGCCTCTCAGACATGAGCATACTTTGAATGTCAGAGACACCACTAGTAAACCACGGCCTGATTAACCCGCCTGGCCCAAGGAGATCTTAGTCTGTAGCCCATTCTGCCCTTCAGCACTACAGACTTGGGTGCAGACACCCATCCACCAACGGCTTGAATGAGCCCAGCAGCTCATGCCAGAGCGCGTCCAACAGCCGGCTGCCCGAGAGGGAGTTCAAGCTGAGTGCACACAACCATCAACCCCAACCTTGTCAGCATGCTCCCAGCAAAGAGTACTTCAAAGAGCAGAGCCACTGCCTACTTCTTCTGAAGTGGAAGTGCCTAATTCCCAAAGCCCATCCTGACCTGCTGACCACCCCTCTGTCTTATGCACTTCTATCAGAAATTGAGGACAGCCAACTCCTGACATCCACCTGTGTTTAATAAAAGTGAGTAGGGACAAAGCACCAGCTGGTTTGTGTTATATAGCACAACGTCTATCTGCTCAGTCAGATGGCTGAAAGACTGCTCCATTGATATATTCATCTGAATAATCAGTCTTAATTTGATCTTATTGTGCACATCCTCAGGCCTCTATAAATTAACCCAATGTTTCTCGTCAGTGAAATGTGTCTCCATAAGCAAACAACCCTCCACCTTTATCACTTGACCCCTCAGCTGTTTTCTTCTGGTGTTATATCCCAGATAACAAGGTCTTTCACAAAAGGAATTGTTGCATTCAGGTTTCTAGTTTATTATCACCTATATGAGAGCCCCGGGAAAACAGCATTACTCGTATAGCTCTATGTTTTTGCAAAGTATGAAAAAAAAAAAAAAAAAAAAAAAGAGAAAAGGAAAAAACAGTAAAAACAGTAAAAAATAGAAAAAAAAAGTGGAAAAAAAGAAAAATAGGAAAAAGAGAAAAAAAGAAAAAAGGAAAAGAGAAAAAAGGAGGGGAAAAAATAGAAAAAAGGAGAAAAAAAAGAGAAAAGAAAAAAAGAAAAAGAAAAAAAGGGAAAAAAGGCCTGTGTAAAGGATGCTAAAGTGTTATCTTCCTTCTCACCTGGTGAAGAAAAAAAAGAGAAAAGGAAAAAAGAGAAAAAAGAGAAAAAAATAGGAAAAAAAAAAGAGGAAAAAAAAGAGGACAAAAAAGAGAAAAGAGAAAAAAAGAGAAGAAAAGAGAAAAAAAGAGGAAAAAAGAAAAAAGAGAAAAAAGGAGAAAAAAGAGAAAAAAAAAAAGAAAAAGGAAAAATGGGAAAAAAAGGCCTGTGTAAAGGATGCTAAAGTGGCATCTTCCTTCTTACCTGGTCTTGAAACATTGATCCACCAAAGGCCCAGACAGCAGCAAAGACAAAGTAAAGTTCATAAAGCTCTTTGGGACAGTCAGGAGGTGTGTTCTCCTCTGTCAGGAGGCATTCGAGGAGGTAGCACAACATCTGAACCATACTCTGCTCAGGAATGGGAATAATCTTCTTAAACCTACGGGATCGAAATTGAAAGCACAGGAAGTATAATAGGGTCCAGCAACACAGTCGCTCACAACCCAGGAAGGCAAGCCTAGAAATGCTTTTTCAGATGATTAGCATTTTACTTGTCAGCAGTGCGTGTCTTATTCCTGGGTACAGCAATAAAGAGAACACCCATTCTTTCCCTTGGACCTGCTGGCACCGGCACATATACGAGTAATAACAGTAATCAGAAGTTTCAAGCATTTTAAAACTTTGATCCTCTTGAAAGAAGTAAAATGGAAGACTTGCTCAAGGCAATGATTTTCTGTGAACACGATGAGTTCAAAAGCGGTCAAATAGAGGAGTAATAAAATAAAACCTTTCATCTTGCCATTTTACATTCATTTAAGCTACACTTACAGAATTCCAAACTAATACTGTAGCAGCACTGAAGCCTTCCATAAAGTAATTATATCTATTTGAAAGGTTGGTTCTACAATTTCTGAATTAAGCAAGCTACCAAAATACTCAGCTCAGGGCTGCCTGCAGCTAATCCCATGGATTTCACTGTCTGACACAACATTCAGCAAATAGAGTGGGAAATGTTCAATGGACTTTGCTGCCAACAGCTATAACCAGCTTGGTCACCCAGGGAGTAGCTCTCTAGTAAGGTGCCTAACTCCTACTTCCAAAGACCACTGCTTTCACTAATGCAACCCCTTCTGACATCCCCATTGTGGTTGACAACTCCCATGCTCAACTGTACATTGGTATTTTCAAATTTTTTTTTTCTTTTTTTTTTTCAATGGAGGTGCAACTATGAGAAGCAAGCAGAGGATGGGAGAAGTTCCCTTACTCAAGTTTGTTGGCACTCTACTTTGGCCAGTCCTCACCACAGCATGAGTAAGAGAGCTGTCTCCTGTGATGAGAAGCATGAACCATATGACTTCTCTGTGGCACCACTTGGAAGCTAACTCAAGCCAAGGAGCACCAGGGCCCTTCCAAATATCCAAGTTCTTCATGTTCCTTGGACTGGTGTCCAACCATGAAACATGCCCAGGCTGGATGCTCACAGAGACTGACTTAATTTTGATCAAATGCATCAGGAAAGAAATGCAAGAGAGAAATGAGTGTAGAGTAATATCATCCTCTTCCACAAACACCAACTTCCTTCTCATCACCAAGGGGCAGGAAAAGAAGTGAGGAGAAGATAAAAGTGGATCTGCTCTCCCCACCTTCCATGTGGCATAATGAAAACTTTCTTTCAGCAGTGGTCTGAAATCTGCTCTACTGAAAAGTAACGTGAACTCAGGTCTAGGCTGACATCAGGAGACTGAAAAGACTCTCTTTAGGATCTCCTGAATTTACTTTGCGAGAGATACAGAACTGGTACATGAAGTTCAGGAACAATCAAATCAAAATCTGATGAAAACTACATCTGACCAACAAAGGATGGGCAGGAGTGTCAGCTCCCCCACCTCACCCCATTGTTTCTCTGAGCTTAAGCCAATGATGTTCAGGGGGCTCAGGGGCAAGGAGGAAACCAGCCACCCAGGCCACAAGCAGCACAACCCCAGCACAGCACAGCTGGTCTGGAAAGCAGCGAGTGTCCCCCTGCCCTTGCTAGTGGAGATAAAATCACTCTTCAGATAGTACCTTGTTCTGAGTGTGTCCAGGCAAATCGGCAGGTACTTATCAAACAAAATGGTCAGGTTGGCTCTTTCGGACTGGATCTCTCGCCTGTCAATCCAGCTGCTTACTGGGGGATTCCAGCCCAGATCTGATGGGTTGATGTACAGGATCCCTGTAGGCCCAGGGCAACAGAGAACATACAGTAAGGACACAGCAGAGACTATTCCTTTCCTCCAGTAGAATTTCTCAACTGTGCAACTAAAACCTTGTCAAATATGCTTGGGTGCCCCATTACCTAGCTCTTCCTCCTGCCCCACTGCAGAGTAGAAACATCAACAATGAGGAGACTTAATTCAGGTAACCAGGACACCTTTCATGACCCTGCCTCAAATTCAGAACATAGTCTTGCCTGAGTCATGTTATTGCTCTGGGCCGCATTTCCCCATGTGTAAAACTAGGGAACACCTTCATTCCTTTCTCCTGTACTTCATGCACTTCCCCAGATCAGGAGCTCTTTGGGATTTATCCTGTCCCTTTCCTCATCCAGTCCATACAGGGCTTTGCCCAACAGGAACACTCTCTCGGCAATGCTGAAGCCATGATCACACATTAACAGTCAGAGAGTTCTAAGTAAATCTCCAAGATGACGACAGGCCCCCATACAGGTTTGGGGTCAGGATCCTCACTTTGTTCATGAGCTTCAGGAACCTACCCTGCCCACCGAAGGCAGCTGTGACCCCAGCTTGGGAACTTTCAAGAGAGACCATGTTGGCCACCAGAAGACTGGTTAATGACACTAGATCCTACTTGGTCCATGCAAAATCCCAGTGTGAAGCTCAGTCCAGGACTCACCTGCTCTGGACACGGTTGCCGGGGTGGCTGTGCGCAGGTGGCTGATCTCAAAGATCAGCCGCATCGTTGGGTTCAGAGGGATTCTCTCATTGCTTGCCAGGGTCAGCACCTGCATGTGGCAGACAGACAGACAGACTAAGGCCTCCCCCAGGAATAGGAATTAAAAGCATTCAGCACTTTTCACTAAAATGCTTAGCTGCTGTCAGCCCAGTTCCTTGAGGCAAAGAAGCTGATTTCTAACACATTTCTCTCTTCCACCACGACCCAGAATCAACAGCACTCCTTTAGGGTGGGGAAAAAAGGCGTAGGATTACGAGTCCAGTCTCTGTTTAAAGGGTGTGAAGTTATGATCAAGATGTTTGCAGTTACTCATGAGTCCAACTCTCGAGGAAAGGGAAATTCCAGTGAAAACATGCTTTGAGCTATTTCCCTCATGCACAATTTTCTTTATGCAATATTCTTTGATATTTCTGAGGAAACACAATCAGATTAATCCAGGAGGTGTTATTACAGCATCTGCATTTCTCCTAAGTTGAATCCCACCACTCAGTCAAGGAATACCTGTTTCTTTAACTTATATTCATTACCTTATTATCATCCATCACAGTATTTAGAGATTCAATCCACATTGGATCAATATCTCCATCTAGTACCATCCACTTGGGACCATCATGTGTGATGTTGGCCAGCTCTCGCATGATTGATGAAAACAGTCCTGGGAGGGTGACAGGAATATGTTGATGAACACTGAAGTTGTCACCTGCTGTAACAGTTTTCTCTAGCAACTTACCAAAAATTATCCTAATTAATGCTTTCATCTTAAGCATTCAAAACCCTATGCATCTGTACATAAATACATCTTGATATGGGTCTAGTCTGCTTTGAAGAGAAAAAAAAAAATTATCAGTTGCCACCACTGAAAATGACTGCAGACCTACACATGAGCTTCATTCCTATTGAGAATCATAAGGTATAAGAAATGTGAAGAGCAGATACTCAGAGGCAAAAGAAGGCATGAATTACACAATGCAGAGAAAACCATCTGAATATGCCTTCAAAATTCTTACTACATTTTTTTTGTGGCTTGAGGCATATCAGGAAAATCAAGATGCATTAAACACTGGGTCATGGCTTTAGTGAGATTGAGGGGAGAACAAGCACAGAATGACATTGAATGACAGAACAAAATGTCAGTAAAATCAAGGAGACCGAGAGGATACAGTGTCTCAAGGGGAGTAAATAATGAATGTTAAGAAGAGCAGGAAGGCTGGGAATAGAGCAGCAGTACTGCAGAGCAAATGAAAACTCCACAAAACTATCACTCTCCTCTACATGTGAAAATACCTAGGGAGACGCTAGTCTTCATGAAAAAACATCAGGCAAACATTAAAAAAAAAAGCCTCTCTTCTGGTGAATTGTGACAAACGCACTTTCCTTTTTTTTTCTCCAAGACAAGCTATTTCTTTGTGATCCAGGGCAGGAACAGCTAGTGACATTATATGACTGAAGACAAAGCTTGTGTACAACAAATGCAGAACAGCTCACCTGAAACAGGTATCTGATTCTGAGACTGGGTCAAAAAACCAACACCTTACTGGCTCTGCCTTGACTCAGTTCCTCACATGTTGGACACATGCTTGGAAACCACTCCAACATTGTTAGTATCAGAAATAGCTACTGTCTCAGAGCAGCAATGCTTCCCTCATACACACCGCAACAGCCGCGGAGAGAAAAGTGCCTCTCTCCTGACCTTGTGCACCCACACCACAGAGCGGTCTTGGGATTTGAAAGAAGAGTTTGGTTCTACAAAAAATACTTTTAGGATTCCCTTGTGGGACCTTTTACCACCTAACACGTATAACCTTTTCAACTCCTTATAATGGAAGGAGTGACAGAACGAAAACAGGAAGAGGAAAAGAAGCGGCTGATCTGTAAGGGAAGACATCATCTCCTGTCAGGCTGGGGTGAAGATTTCCTTACTGGTCTTTGACAAGAAGAAACAAAATTTCCAGGAATGGCTAATGCAGAAAATATCTGCCTTGAAACGTCAGGGAGGCGTCCCATAAGCTCCCTTGAAATGTTACAGGCCAGAAACCACTGGACAGTCACCTGTAGAATGTCCCTCCCGCTGCTCAGTGCCAGCCACAGCCCTCCATCTGCAGTCACTACTGCAGTCAGCCTGCAGATTTCAGGCTGCATCCCACACTTCCCTCTGTCACTTTGATTTAGGGTCCCAAGTTACAATTAAAAAGAAATTAACCCTGGCACTGGAGCAAAGCAAGGGGTCGGGAGGGGTCAGTGGCAGGGTCAGGGGAGGTGGGTGGCAGTTCATCTCCTGGGGGACTTCTGGCTGAGGATGATTTATGGCAATGTCTTCCCTTACCTCCCACACACCTCCCAAACCAGCTGCACACGTAAATCAAAGCTGCCTTTACATATTAGCCACAACCCAACATTTTCACTCCAGATTTCTGTGAACTTCCAGCAGGTTCTAAATGCTCATCTTATTTTCCTCAGGAGCAATCAGGATCAACAGACTGGCAAATGATGGTGTACTACAGAGATCAGGGGGTCATATTAAGTGGTAAAACACCACTTTAAGGTTGATGCATCTGTGCTACCAGCTATGGAAACCTGGGAATGGCACATTTTGGGATGTCCCAGTGCACACCACGGGGCAGAAGGGAACTCTCTTCCATCACTGGTCCAGCCAATCCCAAAAAACTGCCTGCCCCATTTATGAACTGGTAAGTGTTGGTATTAATGGACATGATAATTATTCTTATTGCAACAGGATAAAGCAGGTTTATGCTATACTTCTCCTCTGAGGAGCAAAAAGCTAAAACATCCCATGTTTCCTTTCAACAACAAACTCCCACATGGCTGTGAGCATCATAAAAGCACCCAGGCTTTTAGAGCAGCATACAGAGAACCAGTCATCCTGCTGCTGCGCAGGAAGTTAACTAAAAATATCCTTCTTTATCTACAGATTCAGGCATGAAGAGACATTTACCATCTTTCCATTCTCTTGTTGATGGGTTAATGATGCCGAAAAGCTCATCATTGGTGACTGCCTTGGGGTTGAGGTCTGTCCAGACAGGACGTCGCTTCATTATCTGGTAGGTCTTGTTCAGGGATCTCATCACCTGAGACTTGCCTGTGCCTGCGTTACCCACCACAAAGACAGAGTGCCGGACTGTCAGCAGCTCCTCCAGCTGCACCACCTGAGAAAAAACACTCCCAAATTTTAGACAAAGATGCCAAACTGAAGTTCAGATCTACAAAACAGTTGTCCTTGGGCCTCTTCTTTAGAAAGATAGGACCCAGAGACACAAATGGTTTTGACACTGAGTTTGGTCTAGACACTCTAATCATGATGGGTGAAACCCTCAGCCAGCAGACAAGCCTCCAGAACTATTTACATCTGAAAGCCATCAGCCAGTGAGGCTCTGCTCTCCAGGGGCCACACTTTCATAAGCCTACAAGAGTTAGCCCCTTTGTAAACTCAGGGACCAAGCCAGTGCTGGCTTTAGGGGCAGGTGCAACTGCATCAGACCCAGCATAGCTGACCCTGTCCTCCTCCACCCGGGTCTGCCTGCAAGGGGAATATTGTGCAGAGCCCTCTTCGTAGAAGCAAAGATGGTTGATAGAACCCAAATGATTTGATGGTGGTGTAGATACAGCAGAAGATTGCTTGGTCTTACTTTAAGTACAAAGTTGTCTTCAGCCTGCAGCCGGAGGTCCAGCACAGCCTGCCTCACAAACCGCTCAAAATTCAGGTCACGCTTCCGAGGCACATCCAGCGCAGGGAAAAGATCCCCAATCAGCCCCATAAACACTGGCACATCATCAGTCACAATCTTGGGGATGTTAAAGTCACGAAGTGAGCGCATCAGAACCTGGTCTTCAGGTCGTTCTGGGTCATCTCGTTTGAGAGAGCCAGCGACAACTAGCACTGACTTGATTGCACGCAAGCCCCAGTCGTAGTGATCCTACAGGGTGGGGGGGAAAAGGAGGGATGAGTTTATGCTTAGTACACCACCATGCAGGGGTAAGAACCAGCAGCTCCAAACTGCCAGACAAGTCAGCAATAGAAATATATCCAAATATGTTAGTTGCATTGTGGCTAGAGACCTCTACTAGTCTGAGTTACCTGATTTCCATTTCAGCAGGTGGGATTCCCACCAGGGACAGTATTAAAGAGTTAAATAATTCAGCTGTTCATACCATCACATGAGCTCAGAGTTGGCAATAAAACAGCAGTAGGACATGCACTCCAGAGACCTAAGCAATTTGTTTCACCTAAACCATAAAGCAGTAAAGCAAGGCCAGCCAGAGCCCTAGATCTGCAGGAGCTACCAAGGTGAAAGATTTGTTAGTCCATTATGAGGCTCCAAGTACCCAAGTTTCTCCATCCTGCCCATCACAAGATTACCAGGCACGTTTGGTCCCAGAGACCATCCACTAAGCAGGGGCCAGTAAGGATATCGCTGAAAAAGAACCACAAAGAGGCAGGAGAAGAGCTCTCATGCCAACAAGAAACTTTAGATTTCTGCTCTGTTAAAACCCTCCAAAGCACAGCTTGACAGCTGACTGCTTTGTGTGGGAGGCCATGGATATCACCAACACCTCCAAGATACAGCACAAAGTTTCTGTGACAAGGCATCTCCTGCCCAGCCTCATGTTGGAACAGCCAAGATCAGGTTTTCCATCTGGAATCCTGATTCAGCTCTTCTCTGGGACCCAGTTTTGATCTATGCAAATGATGACAAGGAAAAATCTGATTAATTAGAGCTTTGCACTGGAAGTGATCATACTTGGTCAATACATTAGATGACAGGAAACTGTTAGGCTGAACTGGGAGAGGAACAGACATCATAAAACCCTTGCAGGCAGGAGACTCAATAGGAACTCAGAGACTGGAAAACAAAGGGTCACTAAATACCTCAAACATGGTGTCATTTGAGCCCATTGAAAAATCTCTCCCTTTAATACATCTGGTCAAGTGCTTTTGTCCCTGCAGATCCTCCAGTAAAGCAGTTCAAAAGTTTCATTGATCTGATGATCACAAACCTCCTCTTCTCCCAGCAGCTAGCACAAGTGTAGTCATTAAATAAAAGCCATGAAGCTTTAGTCATGGAGGTGAGTGGCTGAGTGCCACGTTCCTGCTGATTTTGAAGACCAACAGGCTTCACTCTACCATCCAACCACAGAAGAAGGCTCACCTGCTTGGACAGGAGCTCTTTGCAGAGTTGGTATAGAGTAATGAACTTCCTGGCTAATGTCCGAGCCTCAATGAATCCCTCAGCCACCAACATAATTTCACAGATCAGCTCAAAGTCTGGTACAACCATTGCACATGGCCTAAAAAGGCAAACAAAGATCGCAGAACAAGTAATTCTTCACTACAGTCCTTAGGGGTAGTGGATTTGCAGCTTTGTTTTCCAGGTCTTCTCCAGTGAGCCAGGTCTCACACTGGCTTTCCCACTGCAAGGGACAGAGCTCTTTTGGCCTGCCTGTGCACTTCCAGACCCAGGCTTGCTGTGCAAGACTGACAACACAAGTGAATTCTGCAAGGAAATGAAGTGAAGCCTGGATGTTCCAAAAGCCAAGTTTTGCCAGTCTGTGTAAATCACAAACCTTGACCTGGACTTACCTGAAAAGAGCTTTTAAATTCTCAGGTAGCTCAGTTCGCCCTGCATAACCAGGGTTCATGGTGATGAAAATGCCTACTGAGGGAACTAAGTTAATGTCTTCTCCAAGAAAATTGAATGACTTTTTCTTCTCCCGTATTGCATCCTGCACACTCTTCACCTAGGAACAAAGACAGTGTTACAGTATTGGTGTTCAGTTATGGAAAACACACCAAACAACAGTGCTGCCTTCCTCCCACTTGGCCCCATAATAACTGAGGCTTACCACTGCTTTGTTTTGGTTTTTTGTTTTTTTTTTTTTTTACTGAGCATATAAAGTTTTATACACTGTTTGGAGTAAAGCTGTGTGGTAATATCAATTTCCCATCACAATCAAACTCTAACAAAGCAGAAAAGAGAGCTAAAGAGACTGGGCAGTCAAACTTCAAAGCAGTTGCAAGAATTTGGACCACTGCTCCATAAGGCAATGACAAATGTGGGTGAGGGAGAGCAGCTCAGGAGAAAAAAGTGCCTCCAAAGCTGCCTGCATCTCACCTTAGTTTTTAACATCATCTGTGACACTCTTCTCAGCACACCTCACAGCAAAAACACCACCAAAGGCTAAACCATCTCTTTCAACTTCCCAACCTAGCAGGAGGCCAGATGCCCGAGATGAGAGGCAGGGCTGTCCAGGCACCCACAACACAGCCAACACCCAAATGCACTCCCAGGAGTCTGGCAGAACGCAGGCCCCTGGTTCCCTCCACCCATCACCTCTCTCTATACACCACTGCTGTTCACAATAACCCACAACCCTCCCGTGTCTGCTCTGTTCCTTGACGAGGCCCAGAAAAGGAGCAGCATTTCCCAATAAACTTGGCCTCGGCTCAATTGCAAACCGATCACTTGATACTGCTTTTAAAGGTTGTGGGACATCAGATACTTAATTTAAAACCGAAACCACAAGGTGGAAGTTGTAAGACCTCCCCTGCCACCTTCACTCACTAATATTGTATTGTCTTTTATATTTGCCTGATTGCAGCTTTGTTCTTCTCATTCCTCAGCTTCCAAAGACAGCAAGTTTATTAAAGCTACATCACCTTCTTGCAAACAGCGAGGGACAAATCTCTCTATATTCACAACTCTAACCTTTCTGCTGTTTGACATCTTAAAGTTAAGCAATTAATCGAATTTTTCTCCGTAAGGAACCATATCGACATTAGCTGCATGACTAAGACAGCCAATTAAACATCGCCATGGTTACACTCCTAATAGCACCCAGGAGACATGATGATGGAATGACAGCCATGCTGCTTTCTTCAGATGCTGCACTCCAGCCAGGAGCCAAGGAATCATTAGCAGTTGAGTCATATCTGGGCTTCTTTTGTTCAGCTTCCCTTTTTATTTTAAGATCCTCAAGGACTTTTTTCAAGGACAACTTTAAACTAGAACCTGACGGAAGAGAAATTGAGAGGGAAAGATACATAAACTCCTGTCCCACCTGTGGCTTCTTTGGGACATCATGTAAGGTACCAATTATGAGTGAAAGAGAGATGAGAAGAGTGAGGAGTTCATGAAGGGTTTTGGAACAATGTCTGTGACCGAAACATTACAAAAGTGTAGAAACCTCTGGGCTCTAGATCTTTCTGCAATACCAAGTGAAAAAGGGAGTCTAGAAGAATTCAGCACTTCAGTCAGACACTGGGATCCTAAAACCTGAACTCAGCTGACACTTGGGTCCAGAAGAACTTAAGCTACTTTGGCACCTCTGTTTTCAGAACTGAAGTCCCCCAAGGTTCAAAACTTTCAGTTGTGCCTATGTCAGAGCTGTCTCAGCCTGGACAGTGCAGCAACACCCACTGTCTGCTCAAACCCCCCTGGTAGCTGGATTTCCCTGGCATGTTCAGAGGATACCAATGACATTTAGGATCTGGACAACATCCAGACACAGCTCTCCTTCAAAACAAGGGCCATAAGTGATAGCAGGGCCTCCTCCTACCCTGCTGCCCCCCAGATTTCAGCCCCTGCCAGATTCACCCCGCAGTACTTCCCCTAGGTACCTCCTCACCACCCACTGGGAAGGCATGAGCAGGGTACGGAGCATCTCTCCTCCTGCAATCTTTTCCCCTGTGTAAAATATTTCCAGATTTCCTCATGGGCCAGTAAAAGGAAGGGAAGGAGGAGGCGAAGTGACAGATTATATATAAGCACAAGAGAACAGGACTCTCCAGCATGATGAGGCGTCTCCATTCCAGCCCTTCTCCAAGGACTGCTGCTGTGCTTCACACAGGGCTCACAAAAAAAAAAAAAAAAGCACTGAACTGTTAAACTACAGAGGAGATGAGAAATCATTCTACAGGAAAAACACCTATGCATAGCCAGGCACAGCTCAATTAGCTCTCTCCTAGCTTTAATCCCACAGTGTCAGGGTACCCTAGGCAAGCGTGTAAGCAAGGGCTGAAGATCTGCTGCAGGTTCCAGTTACCAAGTGTTACCCAGCTGACACCAGCGTTCAGGAACACTGCACTGCACCCATGGGGCTGCTCACATTCCTCCTAAGAATTATGCCACTTGGCCTGGAATACTCTCCAAAGCCATTTCACAGGGTTCTCATTACAGACATTGGAATTAAATCTACAGCCATATGAAAATAGAAGGAAAGAAAGAAGACTGCAGAGTCTTGGTGACAGGTAAGCATTAAGAACATTGTATGTGTAAAGAAAATTAATCTTGAATGTACTCTTTTTTGTTGAACATGACACACAACCTGTGCCTGACTGGAGGCAATAAGCAACCCCAAAAGTCCAGCAGGCCATGGATCTGCCCCAAACAGCACCTTTCCCCTCCATGAAAATTACTCCCTGCACACCAGGCTGGGTAGCCATAACTCAAGGCAGCTCTCCTCCCTAAAATGATACACTGCAATTATCTCACGGCATATTAATGACATGAGTGTCTTCCTTAGGAGGAATAGGTACAGAGCCATGGTATATACTGATCTGGGAAAAGATGTTATAAAGGTTTCCTCAACACAAATACTGCAACTGGGGCAAGAAAAGAAGTGACAAAAATGTTTGCAGCACATCACTGCTACATTTTGTCAGTGCCGTGATATTCATGTGATTAATCTTGGGATATAATCCCTCACCTGCCTACACATAGAACTGAAACCAGCAACATGCACTTTCCATATTTACTCTTGCTCCAAAGGCTGCAGCATGGCTCTGCCTTGTTTGTATTTATTTACGAGCATTTCTCCACTTACCTGTACAGCAACTACAGAAAGGACCTCAACTGAGATCCTGTTAAATTCATCAAAACAGCCCCAGGCTCCCGTCTGGGAAAGGCCTTTGTAAATATTCCCACAAGACTGAAAAAAAGAAAAAAATAAAATTACAAGAGTGAAATCACAAATGAAATCAACTCCAGCAAAAAATGGATTTTATTTCCCAGCCTGTTTATTTATAGCAATTTACAGTCTATTGTGGGTATTCAGAAAAGTGCATGGAAACAGCAGGCACAACTCAATTATAATATTTATAGCTCTGCAGTTTGCCACTTGATTTGCTAATTGCACTTTCTCGATATATCTGTGTACTAGTTTCATTTAAAGGTCACCTGTGCTGAATTACTGATGGCCCCGCTTCCTAGGAGAGACCATAAGCTGAATTAAATATGATCCAAAACTACCAAAATCACTGTACTGTGCCAGCCCAGCAGAGAGCAAGACTTAGCCTAATGATTCAGTGATCTGCAGTGGCTGAAGGTTCATCCCATTTCGGCCTTATTTTGGGAGAGGATCCTGAGAAAACCAGGGCAGGTCCCTTCCCATGCCAGGGCCCGTCAGCCTGCGTGCATGCCAAGAAGAAACAACCAGGGTCGAAGTATCAGCACAGCCTTGGTCTCAACTGAACAGACCAAAATTTTTGAAGCATTTCACATGGAATCTCACTCCAGAAGGGAAGGAAAAAGTGTAACGAGGCAGAGAGCGCAGTTTGGGTCTCTGCTTCCTACAGAACCTTGTGCAAGTCTTAGAGAAGAAAAAGGAGGAGGAGAAAAGGGTGTTCAGCAGAAAGCAGTGCAGCAGGGATTTGAGGAGAGTTGATGGGCCAAAGCGATCTCAGCTGGATTACTCTCATCCTCCAGGTTTCATCGGGCCCCAACCATCCCCAGCCCCACGTGACAGCACTGTCGCCGAGGTGGAAGGATTACCTTGTAGTCCATCTGCTCAGAGCAGTTAAACACATACACCATGATGCCCAGGGCTCGCCCCAAATCTTTTGTAGTCTCTGTCTTGCCAGTGCCTGCCGGGCCCGCAGGTGCTCCGCTCATGGTCAGGTGCAGTGACTGGGTCAGGGTGATGTAACATCTTTCACAGGGAAGGATGAAGGGAAAAAGGAAAGAGACTGAAACTTGGTCCGAAAGGTCACTGATGGGCTGCAGAGAAATGGCACTAGGGCAATGCACCCAGGAGAACCTTTCTTCTGAAAAGCTGTACACAAGCAGGGTGCATGTCTAAGCTGAAAATCCTCATGGGCTTTCATTACCACCTCTCCCCAGCTGTGTTTTCTCCAAGAGACACTCGTCTTCCACCGGGGTCTGCCCAACCTCTTCACATCCAGGCTGTGCTTTCTTTGGATCTTCATGCCACTCGGTGATATTGGGCATGACCCAGAGAGTATAAGAAAAAGTTGTCTTTTCTGAAAGACCTTCCTCTTGCTTCCCAGTGCTCTTCAACCCAAAGGATCCCACCCCCCATCACTAACAGAAACTACCAGATGACCTATGAATGATCTCACTCGATGCTACAGCAAGCCCCAAAGCTACTCCATCATGCTGATGATGGACACGAGGGAGGTGACCACATGTGGGTGTCTCTACTCACTGTATAAGCCATGGTGCTGTAGTCAATACAGCCAACAAAACCTGATAATACATGGGGGTTTGGCTCAGTTGACCAATATGAGTGACCAGAACCACCTGAGATGCTCCTGGTTACTGAAATGTCACATAGGGTGGAAAGATATGACAAGGGGCCCACAGGAGACTTGCATGCTTCTGGATTGGCATGTGGAAGCCAGGTGGGACAATGCAGAGCATCTCAAGAGCATCAAAGACCCTAAGATGTCCCCACTGAGACAGCTGAACCAAGTGGTTCAGGACAGGATGAAAGCTTTCTGGACTCACCAGCTCTATGGGGTTTGGACATTTTGTGCACAGGCAGACACCCACAGGTGAGTGTCTTAATCTGTGAGCTGAATCCCTCCCTGGGATCTAAGGCACAAATGCCCCAGAGGGTAACACCATCACGTTACAAACCAAGGGAGAGTTTGAGCTCTGCCACCAGATTGCTGGGACACAGAGAAAGAACAACAGGGATGCAGGTGTCCAAACTAAATCCATCTTTGCCTGGTAGCTCTTTCTCTAACTCCATGGCAAAGTCCAGCCATGATGGTGTTCCCCAGGGACCTACCTGTCAGTCAGTGGAGTGATCACAAGCCGAGGGGTATTGCCAAGGTATTCGTAGGAGTACAGGAACTGGGCATCACAGATGTTGGCAAAGCAGTGCCGTTCCTCATCCGACCATCTGTGCCGGAGCTGTGACAGCCAAACGAACGCCTGGGCATTGTCCACCTGCAACACACCCACAAGCACCATCACGGGAAGGCCAGGGCTGCCAGGCACACACAGCTCGGGTGCCAAAATGGTGATTGCAATAAGGTTTTCATCAGGGATGGACTGGTCCTCACTGCGAAGGCAGGTGTGATGAGAAAGGTCACCTTCCCATCTCCCATCAATAGAGGGTAGGAACCAAATTAGTAACCACATTGGTGGGAGAGGAAAAAGCGAATACCCAAGCGAAAGCGCAGCACAGAAAGACTCCTGAAGAGGAGATTTAAGAAGCAGCAAGCCATGAAGAGGCTCTTATAATGCAAACAGAGTAAGAGAAGAAGCAGAGGCTGTCTAGACAGGGAGGGGGCCACAGACAACACCAGGAAAACAGACTGGGGACAGAGGGACAAGGACAGCCATGACCTGTGCTCTCTGTACAACCAGCAGGCAGGCCTGGCAGATGGTCCACATCACCACAAAACAGGCCAAGACACCATCAAATCCAGCTGAGCCTTGGAGCCAGAAACCCTCTGAGCAGCGTGGCTGTCTCCAAGAGGACACAGATGAGGGTAAAACCACAACCCAACACACTCAGGGCATCTTCCCACCCACCTACAGGGCCGGACACTTGACACAGTGTCAAGCACAGGGGAATGGTGTGGGAGAGGTGTGCAGGACAGTGGAGTCCAAAGGAGTCCCTGTGGCCCCACACCAGTCCAAGGAGGCTACAAAAAGAAAACTCCAAATGCTTTTTCTTGTTTTCTAAAGACTTAATTGAGACTGCATCCAGCAGCCTCCCAACACAACACCATCATCCACCAACACATGCCTTGGCAACAGGACACAGGGCCACACTCTCACGCCCAGTCTGAATGTAGCAAGTACATCAAGCCCCTTGGTGTTGCATGGCCATGATACAGAACAGCACTGCAGGTTTATGGTTGCTTTCTGCCTCCTTACTGCAAACACTGTAAAGTAAATTTAGTCATGGATCTCCCGCTGAGAGGGGCAGTGATCTGAATGGCCTGTGGTTGGTCTATCGCTCCTGTAGCCCCTGCTCCAATGCCCAGCACAGGACCATGCTGAGCTGTGAATACAAACCTTCTGCGCTATCATCTTTGCCACCACGTCCCGAGCATGCACATCAATGGTGCATATGGTCATGATCTTCTGCCTGTCACCCTTGGAGAGCTGCCCAATCAGCATGGTAACGAGGGTGTTCAGCTGGGTCACTTGCTTCTTGTGATATTCCTTCATCGCATTCTCGTAGCCTTCCTCCACCCTTGCGAAGGCAATCCCAACCTCGGTTGTCCACCAGATCTGGGTGCAGGAAAGAGCCACCTAGGGAAATAGGCTGGCTCAGTGTCAGGGAAAACACCAGAGCTTTCTTACATTCAAGAATGTTTGATCTACAGGGAGATCAATTATGAAGTATCTGTGACATGAAATTAAGCATTTTTTCATACAGTAGTCACAGCAGACAGGACAACACGGATATTAATGACATTAATTTAAAACATCATATCAGTGGTAGACACGTTTAGCAGCTACTTATTAGTCAAATCAGAACCTTCCACATGCCTGACAGCAGAGAAGGAAGAGCTGGAGACCATGAGGCTCTCAGAGTGCATCCGAGGGGCTCTTTTCTCTCATCAGGCCTCCCCACTTTGTTTTCCTGCTGCACCTCTCGCTCCTTTGGGTGTATAGACTCCCGTGACCCACTGGGTGCAGCAGGCACTGCCCAAGCCGCTGAGCTCTGTAACCCAGCCAAGAGCACACCCTCCCTGGAGCCCCAGTCAGAGCATGGAGCTCAGCCTGGAAATTCTGTCAGGAGATTGCCAGGATAAAGGACAACTCATCCGTCCTCCCTCCCGGACAGCACAGTGGAGGGCAGAAACGTCCCCATCCAGAGCGAGAGGCCATTACTGAAAGAAGGGCAGGGCAGGACTGAAGGGGAAGCCAAGCGCTGCCTTTCCCACGTGGAGCCTGAACGGAGCTGAGGAGCAGCGGCAGATACCTGGGCAGGGTAGTCAAAGAGCCACTGTTCCCTCGGCTTCTCCTCGTAAGCCATGATGGCTTCTGTCATCTCATCTCTCACAGTAGCCCTCATGCTCTCTAGTACGTGATTCAGCCAGACCTCAACCTAGGGAACAGATTAAATCACAGTAATACATTTGGTCTTCTTAAGAGCCTCTGGTAATTAGTGAAGATACAGAGTGGGACAAACATCTCAACTCTCGAGTTAAACAAGCCTCACAGACTCCTTCAGACTGGGTGGATTTAGCCAATTCTGGTACTGCAGGGTTACCGTCTATTTCCAGACACCAAGAATACAAGGCAGACTTTTCTTGAACTCCAGCTATATGAGAAACCAAAATGAACTCCACCAGAGTAATTTAGTCCGGTGCGTTCCACCTCCAGGCCATGACAGGATCACTCATGGGACTGGCGCACAATCTGCCAGCAGCAGGAGAAAGCTGCTGCCAAACTGGGGAACACAATTCCTGCTGAATTTAGTATTTCACAGGCAAAGCCCTGACTGAGAAGATAGTTTAAATGCAGCAAGCTGGGAGCTCAGTCACTGGTATTATGTACTTTAGCTTCCTTTAACAGTCCATGGAGAAAGGTGCAACTACAGGGACAGATAAGCCGAGCAGTAGTTTGATTCTTAAATTTCATACTTTAACACATCCTATGAAAGAAGGAAGATTTCGAAAACAGGAAAAAAAGCTTTCTCTTTCAAAAGATACCCATGTAGATGTACTATGGAATAGCTCAGTCTATTTTCAATCTGCATCCTCTCCCTTACCAAGGATAATTGTAACAAGCTGTAAGACTAACCTTCAAAACATCTTAGAAAAAATCAAATAAAAAAACCTAGTTGGAAAAAGGCCACAGCCTCTTCTCTCACTGTCGACTGCGACACCTATGCCCCACCTTACTGAGGACCAAACCAGAGCAGAATTAAGAGCTGTGGTGTAAGGAGGAATTAAATTACACACCGCCTCTTCCAGCCTCACACATAAAGGAAGAGTAGTGAAGCTCTATGATATCTTGGCAACATATGACCACACAAAGGACATGAGAGCAGACTCCACTGGACAGTTCTGAGACAAGGTCCTTCTTTTCACCTGTCCGCTGCAGTCGCAAGGTTCACTGAAGCTGACATATTCCTCCTCCCTACTGTACATTCCCAGGCCAACCTTGGTCGCCTTTTGCTCAGAGTCCAGCTGGAATTTCATTTTGGCCAAGTTGTCAAAGAGTTTGGAAAGATGACGTTGCACCTGCAAAAGGAATTGTATACGTAAAGTGGCTGGGACAGGACAAGCAGAATGGAGATCACCATACATGTCACAGTCACAGTCATGTTCACAAAGCATGATCTTGGACGTCTTGGTAGCACCACATCTTCTCATACATGGCCACGACACTGCCAATACAAGTATCTTGCTGTCTCCCACTGCTCCACCTCATCCTATTCTCAGTAGAGTTTTCTTCGCTATGAACCTTTCTGTTTTTTCACTACTAGAAATCAATTTTGCATCAATTAAAAGTCCTGAATTCTCATCCATGAAGAAGAAGGACCTTTATTTCTGCCCAAGACCAACGATAAATAGCTCAACAACCCAGACCTGCAAAAGCCCCATCTTGACCAAAAGCACTGTTCCAGAAGGAAAAGGATAATTCAGCCCTGTTCACACCTGGCTGAGTTTGAAAAGCCAACAGAGAAATGCTACCATTGCTGCTGCAGGCTCTCAACATCAGCACCTGCCTGCTGGGCACCGGCTGACCTGCTGAGCAGGTCACCAACACTTCTTCTAGATCACTACAGAACACACAACTAAATCACTGTGTGCCACATGCCACTGCCAACAAAGGTGGGCTTCTGCCAGGACTGATGTTCCTCCAGCAAGGGTCAGCCCACAAAGCTGTCCCAGACAGGAGCTGGCTCTCTCAATGACAGCCAGAGGCAGGGAGATGGACAGACTCCCATGGGTAGGATGAGAAATGAGAACAGCTCACAGTGCATGGCACTCTAATGCTTTCAGAGAAAGACACGTGGACTTGTCTGTTTAATTCTTACTGACTCACAAAGTATTATAACACTCCTTCTCACAAGCTGTCCTGCAGATGGACATAGCTCAGTGGTCTTCTTACACACGTTCAAGTGTGGCCAAATCCTGGAAAGTATTAAGTACCTCTGAGAAGCAAGGGACAGTCAGCTTCCTCCCAGATAAGCATACCTCCCTTCAAATCTTAAGTAAACCATAAAAACCCTTTTCTTACATCTAGAAGTTTCTGCTTACAAATCCCCACTGTCCATTCCCAGACCCTGGCCGGTCTGCAGGGCTTCAGATGTACTCCAGCACTTGGTGCAATCCTGCTTCTGGAGCCCTGAATACACCTGAATCTGCACAAGTTCAACACCTAGTTCAAGAGGATAATATCATTGTGTATTTAATCCTCCTTTAGGAATTATCAGACTTTGAAACCACAGTGGAAAGGCTGAGTGTGTATCCATGTATGATCCTACTTGACATTTACTTTGATTTTACTGCAAATAGCTTTGAATAACAGAAAACGCCAGGAATTTCTTCATATTCCATAGAGCATTTCAACAGCGTCTTTTCTTTGCTTCCTGTGTTTTTTTTCTCTCCATTTTAAGTATCAATCAACTATGTATTTATGATACTCTGTGGGTTGAAATCAGTCAGCAGCAGAAACAGATACAAGCAGTGTTAAAGGTTAGTGGCAAACAGCAGCATTTCCAAATGCTCTGCAAACCTGATCCATTCATGTGCTCACACGAATGCTGAAAATTATGTAAAGTTTAAAGAAGGTGAGATTACTCACTACTGAAAGATGGAATAAGTAATTCATTCCTTATCCAACAGTCTCCATTTGCTGTGAACATATTGATTGGTTTTACATACCAATCTCAGGATAAATGATGCATCCCAAACAAGGCCAGCCAGAGCACGGCATTGCCAGGCAAAGTGGCTGAGGTTTTCTGACAGCAACTCCTGTAGCAATAATAATCAACCATAATGCTACTATGCTCTGTATGGAAAAACACCTGCAGGAGTGAATCCTCTGAACCCTGCCCACTGGGGATAGGAGGTGTCTGTGCTCCTCTGGGGAATGGAGGGAAGAGCACAGTGAAGACATTGCCTAAAACGGGAAGGTTACTACAAGTTCCTCCACAGGCTGATCCAGCAATCCACCACAGTCAACAGGAGGAATGGTATATTTGATTTCCCCACATCTTCTATTCAGACACCATCCCCAGAAACAGAGCCTGGAGAGGAGAAGCTCCCTCAGTCAGATGGTGCAGAAGCCCAGCGCAGGAGGTCAGATACCCAGCCTGGCCCTGAGCTGCGCAGGGGTGGATGTCAACCCAAGAGATTTACTTGCTTGCCTTGGCCGTAGCCACCATCTGACCACCAGCTGTCTTACTTTTAGGTTGTGTTCTTCTCTACCCATGTAATCAGGATGTCCCAAAGTCTTTTGCATGGGGGAAGAAAGAAGTGGCTGACTAGCAAATGCCTATTCTGCCTAAAAAATGGGAACTCTCCAAGCCATCAGTTGTCAACACTTCCACATGTGAATGCCCAGTCTGTGGCTATTCCAACAGCAGATGCTGTTTGGCGGCATCTCAGGTTGAGAATCCAAGGTCAGCAACAAGTTTTGGTTGACATTCTCAAGAAAGATGGTTTCATCCAAACTCACTGTACCCCAGCAGAAACAAATTCACTGTTTTTATGGCATCAAAACCTAGCTCTATTCTGTGCAACACTTTCAGAACCAGCTGCAAGCATCACCAGGGTTAGATCAGACAACACACAGTGCACATGTTGCCTTTCAAAGATGACAGATGAAGGCCAGCTGTGAAAGAATTATTATTAATCCGAGTGAGGGTGGGAGAAAAAGCACTCAAGAAAGGATAAGCCACAGGAAAGTCCCAAGACAGCATCTTCTGCTGTGACATTACTGGCAGCTGGAAAAGGCAAAGATTATGCAGTACAAAGCTTACCAGCTGTGGGTTGGTGCCATTGGAAAGAATATCCAATAAATCTGCAGAAGAAATGAAGTAAAATCTGGGAAAGGCCAACCTTTTCATGTCCAAATATTCAGCCAAAGCCTTCTCACACAGAGACAATCTGGGGAGACAAAACAGATAAACAGAGTCCAAGACAGGTGGGTAAATACCATTTCATGTTTCATGCTACAGCTTGGGTTATCAAGCAGACACTCCCCTACCATGGGGAAATGTCAGACATGAGCTGAGCCTGTAGGCTGGTCTTCTACAGCATTTTCCAAACAGATCAACACAGCACATAGTAACTCATAGTAACTCTCTACTTCCGAGGGTCAAACAGCCTAAGAGTCAGAGAAGCCTCATGAAAAAGAAGAAACACAGAAGCAGCTAGAAAGGGTTTGCAGTCTGAGCTGTTTTAGACAAACTCATAACTGCCACGGGTGATTTCATACTGGGATAACAGTTTCCATAACTGCTTTTATTCTAATGAGCCACATTTTAAAGTCTGATTCAGACCTAGTCAGCTTTTTGTGTTTGCAAAGCCTGAACGGAAACTTGTTTGCTCCAATCTAAAACGAATCTTTCAGTGTTTACATGCTAAACTGCTGCTGAGCTTACAAAGTTCATAAATAACATACAGCTAGTCCTCTGTGAGGAACATTAGCCTTATCTGATTAAAAAAAAAATAAATCTTTATTTTAAATGGATAGCTATTACTGACACAACAGCTATCATATTAACTTTTAAGTGTGTTCCAGGTAGACAAGTTCATATGTAAAGTGAGAAGTGTATCCATCTCAGGACACTAAAGGTCTTTCTCAGAGAGCCTACTTATACCACGTGTCAAGGGTACACACACACACAGAATTTCGTAAATTAAAGAACATGGGATCAGCTCTGCTGCAGATATCCCTGCTTGGACTGCTAAACAGATATTTAAGACATTGTATTTGGGGTGGCAGTGAGGCCACATGTTATTGAAACCAGGTGAATGTCTAGCTTTGTATGTGTGCAAATCAATATTCAGGATGAGAATCTGCACATACACAAAGCCAGACTGCACCCTGGGGGCTTCAGGGTGATGGATCACAAATCAAAAAACTCAAGAAAGATCAGAAATGCTGCGACTTGTGAACGTGGAATGCACAGTCTGGAAAGAAACCCCTGGAGAACATATTAAACAAATTTATCAGAGTTGAACGCAGTCCATGCCAGAATCTTGGGATTTGAAGTTCTACATACCTACTCTGAATGTCCTCCAGTTGTTGGGACAGACCTGGTTTATTGGTAGCCTCAACTACATTTGGGGTTTTCTGAGCTTCGTAGGCCAGTTCCTTAAAATCCACATCAATCCCCTCAAAGCGTTTGGAGTCCTAAAAGGCAATACAAGGAACACATTCATGGTAAAACACTAACTTTGTGCTACAAAGATCTCATCCTCTGGATGATGTCTTTGGGTTGAAGGGGAAAGGCTCTGTGCAGAGAGCCTCCTGTCCAGTGCAGAGGGACCTCTCCACCATTTCAGAAGGGCTTTTCCAGCCATGTGCCTGAAACATGTCTCCAATGGGGCACTCACCACCTTCTCACTGTATCCCAAAGGGGTTGTGAATAAAGTGATCCATGCAGAAGCCAATGCCTAGAACCAACCATATTCATGGGATTGAATTTCCCTTTGAATGTCTCCTCATAACTCTTCCTCTCCCGTGTCCAGATGAAATACCAAGCTTCCCTGGCCACAGCAGCAGGAAATGCTCCCATATGGGGGGAAAAGCTACCGACCCCATGTGAGTTCACTCTTCCCCTCTTGCTATAGCATAGGAGTCCCAGTGCCCATCCCTGAAACGGGTATGATGACACTTGCAGAGGAGAGCCCTTCCTTGCCTTAAGTAAGGCCATGGAAACCCCATGTTGGCAGCAGAGGAGCATGCTGACAGTTACGCTCTGCACCTAACACGGACCCTGAATTTCTGGAGGTAACAGGGAATGAACAAATAAAGCTATGTTCAGAATGTCTCCACTTCTCCTTTCTTTCCAAGCCAGGCCTCCCAAGTGAATCAGGACACTGAATAAAAGTGCTCCAAGCTTTCCTGGTAACACTTCTGCATCAACCTGTGTTCAGCCCCAGTAGCAAGGCTCCGGCTGGAGGGTTGAGCCTTTCCTACACACAAGTCATGTAGCCAACTTCAGATGTGCATCCCGTGCCCTGCCAGCACATCCTTCCCCAGACCTGCCTGATCCCGAGGAGGTTCAGTCTCCAGAGGCTTTGAGCTTCATCTTTTTGTCTAGGGAAGAGAAGAGGCTGCTGATTCACGCCACCTTCCAGACGGGCACTGAGATGCAGCCAGCTGCCCAGTAGGATCTAGATTTAAATCATTATGCAATTTCATACATGCCATTAGATAGCTGTTGGATATTAACAGCTTGCTTGCACGTGGCACAGCCTTCAGGGCACTGGTTATTAGCACCTGTATATATTGCTCAGTAAGTGAGGTGTGCCCAGTGCTCTCCAAAGCAGAGGAGGAACAGTCCAAGCAGACCAGAGAGAAGGGATGGAGACAGGGTAGTGTATCGTCTGGGTGTCACTGGGCTGTGCACACCCCCTCTTGGTTGTCAGTCCCCAGCAGTGCTGTCAGCATGGCTCAAGCACAACCTACAGTACAAAAAAATCCTGGGGCAACACTAGGGAAACTACCACAGCACTAAGGGACCCTCCAAAAAAGCAAGGCAGCAGGAGAAAAGCCCTGCTTTGGGGAAGTTGACATTACAGATAACCCTGTTTCATATAATGGAGGCTCTTCTTCAACACTTTCCAAACAGGAAAAGTAGGATTTGGGGTTTCATACCTTCGGAAGTTGTGCCCGTATATCTTCTGAGCCTATGAATATGCTCTCCAAGTGAGACCATGTACGTTGCACTTCAAACCAGAGGGAAATTATGGAGTCCGCAGTGGACAGCCTCCTCTGCCATGCAGACACTTCCTCCAAGAAGAAAGCAATATATTTGGATGTCATTAAATTCTGCAGCTGAACCTGGTTGTCTTCTAAAGTTTCAATGAGTTCCTCATTTGATTTCAGCAATGGGATGTTTGTCCGGGAGTGAGGCTCATACTGAAACTCCATGGTGCTCCAAGTCATTTTTAGTTCCTTCAGAACTTTTTCCATACTCATTTCTCGCACTGCTTTGTCCACAATACCACGAACCTCATCCTCAAAGTTATGCAGGTTGAGCTTCAGGAGGTCAGCCAGCATGGTGTCAGAGTCCATCACAAACCTCACACCCGTCATCTGCATCAGTTGATTCCAGTGTCTTTCTCTAATGGCAGGATTTTGAAGTTCTGCCACAGCTTTCAGGGCCGTCAGCATGTTCTTCACTTTCTTGTCCAGCCCAGTGAAAGCATCCCACGCTCTCATTTCCTTATCCAAATTCCGAATCTCTCTCGCAAACTTTTTACACTCCAGATCCATGTTTTCCACATTAATATCCACCCATTTGGTGGCCTGCCAGTCATCAAGGCTAGTGTTCACAAGGAAGATCATATCCCAGAGCTCTTTGAGAAGACACAGCTCCTTTCTGCACTGTTTCAGTTGTTTATAATCTGGCACCATGACTTCAAACAGACCAGCTGATTCATAAATCGAGGTCATGGCTGACTCCATTTGTTTAATCTCAATGTGCTTTGCATCCAGCAGTTGATAAGGCTTTTCAGTGTCAAACCTAGAAAGGAATGTTTATTCTTCATAAGCGATATTGTAACAACTTTTAAAGAAAACATAAACCAAACAGTGCCTCTAAAAGGCAAAGAAGAGATGAAACATCTATAGTACACATAGATGGTACAGCCACATGGCACTACTGATGCCACCTTAAAACAATATTGTGTGCTCGGCATCCAGATTCAATCTCTTGCAGACACTGGACAGTGTTCCCAGGGACAAAACACCCCAGGCGTAACAGATACGGCACTGTGAGAAGGTAGGAAGTGCATGCAAGGGCTCAAGCATACATTTCTCAGGACACTCAGAGACGATCCCATAAAGCCTTTTTTCCTCAGGGCTTCTCTGATGCTATAATTTGCCTGTACCTGAACGGTGCTTCTTTCCGAAATCGCTCTCTGAATCTGTGCTGCTCAACATCAAACACCGCACAGCTCTTGCGCAGAACTGTCATTTCGTTCGCCTGCAGAGGAGCCACATGCTGTTTCACAGCTATTGCCAGCTTCTTTATATTATTCCATTTTTCTGGCAGCTCCTGCAAGCAAAATTTAAACGCTGGTAGGCAGTATTTGCTATTTGATATAAGATGCATCTGATCTGTTTATGGATAATCACAGAACAGGAAAAGCAACAGATTCTGTGTCTAAAACTGTAAGGAAGTTTTGGTGTGATGCAAAGGCTAAACACGCAATTTGGGATAAAACTAGTTATTCACAATTTTGAAGACTATTGAAGACTGAGACCTTATAACTGACTGCTCTGATTGTAAAAACATGTCAAATAATTTCAGAAGGGCCTCAGATTAGATCCTGAGCTCCCAGGGTGGTCCAATGCTCTGGAGAGAACAGGAATCTGAACACCAAGCCCAGCAGGACCCGAAGCCTGCTGGGAGAGGCTGAAGGGAGGATGGCTGTGGATTCAAGCTCATCAGATTGTCTGGCTTCCCAGAGCTAATTAAGAAACAGAGCCTGGAAAATTTTCCTGTCAGCTCTTACAGCAGAAGAAGATGTTATACCAGAATGACTTCTGGAGAGCTCTCTGAGACAAACCCCTCCAGCCTGTGTATATATTATTAGTACTAAATAAGACTGGTTTCTTTCTCAGGTCTGCATCCAAGCTGCAAGTGTGCAGCCCTGCTGACAATCTACCCTCTGTATCTGGGATTTTCTTCGGAAAGGGATTTTCTTTTTTTTCTCACTACGCTTCTCAGGCCATATCCTCTGCCTAGATACTGACACTAGCCAAGAGCCCTGCTGTCAACTCCCACTGCTTCCCACTGTACTGTGCAAGCCTACAGGAAAGATTTTGGGTTTCTCTTCATCACAGTTCACATAGTTAAGGAGATTAATGGAGACCCACCGACATTATGGAAAGAAGGGAAATAACCTGGAGGCAGCTCTGAGGCAGCAGAGATGGCCAGTGCAGGGCCAGTCCCTCCTGAGGTGTCTCTTTCTGGCACTTTATATTCCAGTCTCAATAGAAATCACTATCCCTGACCACAGCAGGGCACACATGGAGCTGCTTCCTTGTCCTTCTCATACAAACTACCAGCTCCAGCCCATCCATCTCCACGGCCATGGAAGGAGCACTACCTACAGGAACTTATTTCTGGTTTTTCCACTGTAGAGGAGTGAATGAATCATTCAACTACATGTTCCTGTCGCTTGCCAGAAAGAACAAAACTGTTTGTTATCTCCTGCATCTGAATGTCTGCCCTGCATCCCTCATTTCTTCTATCAGCAAAATAAATCAGTTGTTCGAATGTTCTTGCACAAACAGGCACCGAACAAGCACTTCTCAGGCAGAGGAATTAGCAGAGCCTGGTTCCCTGCAGCACCGTGTTTTATGTGGACTGAAGCTGCTGCAGCAGACAGAGCATCCATGTAATGGAGCTCTGATGATTTTCAGGGAGTCTGTAGGAACCTAGGTATCTTTAGGACCCTTAGCTATTCCAGATTCGGTGACCCAACCACCCACAGATCACTGTTGCACAAGCAGAAAACCAGGGCAGTGCTAAACTCCACTGGGCTCCCACCCAAGCCTGCAGCAGAGAACTGGAGCCTTTGCTGCACAGGTGCCTAAGGCTCCCCGACGGGTCCTGCTTTAAACCTTGTGTCCTACACAGCCCGCTCTGCCCACAGCGCCCCATGACTACCGGCTATCCATCAGCACGTAGCCACATGCTTCTCCACTGCAACATCTTGGCTGGTGCCAGTGCTTGTCTCCTGTTCCCCAAGGCTGGCTGGGCACCTCACGGTCTTTTCTAACCTCCATCTCATGGTTCCCTTCCCAGAAAAGAAAGGAATTCCCCCAAAACACTCTGATTCTTCAGAGCCAGATGTGGAAAGGTGCCAAAGTACTTTCATAACCTGCTCCCAGTGACGTCCTCTGGGTCAAACAGATTTGGTGCTACAGATCCAGTGAAGGACTGAAGACCTAGGGGAAGGCAACTCCTCTGCCAACATTATCCTTCCCATCTCCACAGTTGCCAAGAACTGGCTTATTTAAAAATAATTATAATTCAACCTAATTAACAGATGTATTTGAAAATGCATTAATTTTTTTCAAGAGTAATCGCTGGGAGTTGGAGCAGGCAATTCTATGTTTTTCATATATAACAAAAGGCTTAATCTCTGCTTTAAAAGAAAAATCTCAATATAACTCCAAAATTTAGAGCTATTAAGGCACATCATGCAATAGCAAAATACTATCCACTGAGGCCCTCTAATGACAGGGAGTGGGGTCTTAAATATTCCTGAAATGCTCTTAAACTCACACTCTCTCTTTGACATCTGCTACTCCGCAAATTGGTGTGTCCACCACAAGTTTTCACCCACCTCCAGTTGCTTATAGACTTCCTCTGGCAGCTGTTGCTCATACGTCTTCAGCAGTTCAATGGTTTGCTTCAGGGGCTCGAACATGGCATCAGTGGCACTGTGCCTTTCTTTAACGGCCAGGAGGTGACCCATAATCTCCACCAAGCCATCATAATCACCCTTCTCAACCTTCTTGCTCAAACCTTTATCGGCAGTTTTTATGAACTCATCAAGGTCAGCCAAGCTACAGAACACAAAGCAGGAAAGCACAAAATAAGAGCAGTTCCTACTGAAAGAATTATCAGCCTTATGCCAGGCACCTGGACTGGCATGGACAGGGGAAAGGCCTGGATAACCCTGTCCATTTTCATGGCAACATGCTGAGGGCATCAGAACCACAATTCATGCTCAAAGGGATCCATAGATGTGGTACAGCTTCCTGCAAGGAACAGATAAACAGGTTGGGACTTCTCAGGTTGGAAGAAAAGAAAGGTATCTGAGAAGGAGTATAATGGAGAACTGTGAGCTCAGGAGTGGTCTGGAGACAGTGAGCTTGAAAGGCCAGTTTTCATCTCCTCACTTCCAATACAAGAATTCAGGATCCCCAAATGAACCCGGCAGGTTGCAAAGCTACAATAAACAGGGATTCTTTTTCACACACTGTCTCATTTCACAGGGTAACTCCCTGATGCAGGAGGATGCAGGTGATAAAAAATTCACAGCAGTTCAGAAAAGAAACCAAACATTTGTGGAGAAAAAAAAAAACATTCGGGTCTTTAAATACAAAGGCATGACTCCAGTCTCTCAAAGTCCTTGAGCTATAAATTGTTAGAGACAAAGGAGAGTATCTGGGGGAAGTTTCCCTACCTGCTTACCCTGTTCTTAACCTCATCAGCTCCTAGGCACTGGTGGCAGAGGCATGGTGGGCTCCTGGATCTCCGGTGCTTTCCAGCACAGCCATTCTCCTCTCTTCAAAACACTTTTTAAGTACCCACTTAAATTATGTGGATGCTGCTGCTGGGCCAAAATGTACCCTTAAATACTTCACCTAATAAAGACTAAAGTGCTGAGTCAGGGACTCTTAATAAGAACTCCTAAATGCCCATTCTCAGCTACACAAAAACCTCTTTGCACAGTCATTACCTAACAGAATTATGGTGCTGAAAAGAACCCAAGAGATCATATCATCCACCATATGCAGCAGCCTGCACTATTACATATGTCTCTAAATACTTATTTGTAAACACTCAAGACCTACAATATTCTTCAGTTGCGACAACTCAAATAAATCACCTGATGCATTGTCCTGCACAGACCTGGCGACTGAGCAGCTATTCAGAGCAGGTAACACATGTTAACTCAAAACTTACATACAAAACTCCTCCTTTTTGTAACCTTGAAAATACCTCCCCATGACTGCTCATGCCAGGCAACCCAAATTAGGGATCTGGGGCAGGGGGGGTGTTTGTATTTTTTTTTTTTTTTCAGACAGTGCACTCAAAAGAGCAATGCACTTAGAAATAGAGCAAGTATCTCATGGCATTAATGCAACTTTACTGATGTCTAATATCAAATTCAACAAAGTAAGCACAGAGCCGCAGCACAGATTATGTTAGTTGGACCATGATGAATGGACAAACAGATTTCCCATCCAACACCACACAGCAGGTCCCAGGAGCATCGGTTTGTGGGATGCCAGTGGTACCAACTCCATAAAAATGTTTCCACTTTACACACTCAGCCATACCAGTTCCCATCAGAGACCAGCAGATGGAAGATAGAGGGGATGTGATGGAGCTGGCACGCAGTATGGACCCCCTTCTCTTAACTCTGTATTAGCTTATTGGTTATCAGCATGAAATGATAAAGCCCAGCCAAGACAAGAGAAATCCCCTTTGGTCAGCACAGCTCCTGGGGAGAGGAGACAGGAACAGCTCTCACCTGTGCGTGACGTGGTCCATGAGATGCTGCTTGAACACCAAGCTCCACCTTTTAATCACATTCAGCAAGGATGCCTTGAAAGGCCGAGCATCGACTTTCATCCAGCTCTGGAAGATGCTGATGGGCTCAATGCGATTCACCTCTTCATAGATCTTCTCATAGGAGTCGATCTGCTCTCGGAACTGCTGCAGTGTGGGAGGTGTCTCGGGGACCCCATCCTCCGCGTGGGCCTCAATTTCGGCAGCAGTGAGGATGTGCCCATAGAGGAGGAACTGGCGGAAGAACTCCTTTCTGTCATCCCCATAGAGGTAGGAGTAGTGGTCGAAGGCACTGCGGTAGTCACAGCAGGCCACCATCACGGCCTGAACGCGGCCCATCAGGTCATGGCGCATATCAGCCAGATCAGCCATGTCCTCCATGTCAGCCTAGGAGAGGAGAGGAGAGCACAGTGTTGCAGGAGCAGCGTGGTACCTCCCCACTGTCACACAGCGTGAGGGAGCTCCACAGCCAACTGACCTGGTAGTGGAGGAAGCCACTGTGCTCTGCCAGCCTGGGCACCAGGGACGAGATCCGGTAGATGTCATTGAGAAGACTTTCCACCATGTCATAGAAGCTATCGTGTGTGCCAGGGTCCAAGGAGGGATGAAATATCAAATCTGGGATCACCAAATCCAGCTGCACCTCAAACAGGGGAGCAAGCCCTGCCTTGGGATCTAGCAGGGAAGAACCGAGATGCCAGGATTTTTTTCAAGGGCAGGAAAGTGGTCCTGAGCCACCACTAACATCCCACCACAAGATGCACCCACGGCCCACAGGGACACCAGGCAGGTGTGATCACAGACACCCACTCGCTGGGTCCAGTGACACTGTCTGCATTCAACATGGAAGAGATGCTGGCAAATTAGCTGATGTTCTGGTACCCACAGGAGATATTGGAGAACAAATGAGACAAGTGATTTAAGGACTGGAAAAAATGCTGTGAAGGAAAGCCTTAAAGAGACCAGGCTCTTTAGCTAATCAAAAGGGAGTCTGAGAGTTGAACAATTACAGTGCATAAGTACTTGCAGAGGAGAAAAACAACAGGAACCAAGAGGCTCTTTAATTTAGTGGAGAAAGGCATGAAAAAAACCCACAGCAACTGGAAACTGAAGCCAAATGCAAATGTGAAATTATGTGCACGTTTTTAACAAGATGGTGAAGAACTGGATGTAATTCTCCAACTCAGTGTCCCTCCACAACCAGTAGGGAAATGTTCCTGGAGATGTGCTTTAGCTGGACACAGGCTGCTCTCAGCAGAGCAAAACTCCACAGTGGCCTTAGGCAGGAGGATTGATTTAGTGACTCCTGAACCCACCTCTTCACTGCACTAACGCTCAGGGACTGAGGTTCTTCTTTCATGCCTTTCATCAGCAGAACCTGCTCTTGAGACTCTCCACAAATGATAGATTGTGTCACCCTGATGCTTTGTGCATGGGAGGGCAGGAGATGGCCGATGCTGAAGCACAGACTTGGAATGACGCCTCAATTTTGTCTGTCCATTAATCCCTGCAAATGGTGCATAGTCGTCTCTATCCCTCCCCCTGAGCAACGCTTTGCTCCAGCAACTGGGGGATGGAGCCACCCACCGTGTCCAGAGGCTCCCCCAGCACTTGCTATAGACAGTGCAAGAGGCACAGCAGAAAGCCAGGAAGAAGACAGCAATTCTTAGGCATGAGGGAGACCACCAACCAGAAACCTCCCCGTGGTGAGACTGAAGCAGCCACCACAACCAGGGGAGAAGAACCAGCAGTCACCTGTGTTTTCCAGGAGGTACTTGAGAGAGCACTCGATGGCAGTGAAGAATCCATCCAGGACTATCTCATCGACATAATCCACATAGGCCTTCCAGATGTCAGATTCTGGGTCTGCATGTAACAGGCTCTGGTTTTCCTGAAAGAAAAAGAAAGATGCCTTTAAATACAGCAGAGCTGAGTCTATCCTACAAGAGAGCTGCCCACAGCTAAGGACTGATGCCAGTGCGCACATGGGTACCAGCCTTGTGAAGGGATGGGAAACCAGAAACATGGATGTTGCTGCTGCTGGCATGGCCACAGTTTGTTCCTTCTGGGAAGGGCTGCTTTGTCATCTGAAACAACTCAAAATAACTGCAAGCTAAAAATGGAGTGAAGAGGCTTAGCAGCTCCACAACGTGTTCTCCTCCCAGGCCACAGGGCTTAAGGCTGCTCGCACACTGGGGCAGGGAGCTCTGCTCATCCCAATGCATGGAGAGCCAGCCCTGGTGGCCTGCGTAATGTTACCTTGAGGGGATAAGGCTTTCAGGGTGGACTGCTTACACCTCTGCCCTACAAATGGTCATCTCAAGACCACTCTTGAGACCACTCTCAAGAGAACTCTTAAACTCAAGAAAAGGTTTTTAAATAAACCATGTAAAAAAGGAGTAAGATTGGGATCAGAAGACAAAGGGCTAGCTAACAACCTCCTTCCTCAGCTTACTGTATTCCCTTCCTCTAGGCAAGCACCATCAGGAAATTCAGGGTTTTCTGGTTACAGCAGGGACCCATCCTTCCTGGTTTTCCTCTTTCCATCCCCACAAGGCCAGGCTGTGTACCCACTTCCTGCACCTCCCAGTAGCCTCCCAGGCTCTGCTGTGATCCTGTCCCCTGCCTTGCTATGCCCCCAGTGTTGCTTTTCCTAAGCCTGTCAGAGCCTCTCAACACAGGCATGGCCTCAAAAAAAATTAGGTCCAGCTTTTAGTGAGCAGGAATCAACACACCCTGTCTGTTGCCAGGGGGCCGGCACTGGCAGTGATTCACGTGTGGAGGCACAGGAGCGGGTGCCATTCCCAGTGCTGACATGGCAGCATGGCACACGTGAGAGAGCAGCATTGCCAGTTGGGCTTGAACCAACCCAAAGTTGCTGATCCCCGACTTGACACGTCATAGCTGGGTGCTTAAACTCTCAACAGAGCAAGCCAGGGCTCTGGCCCCTTGCAGACTCACCCTGGCCACATTTTGCTGACATGAAAGAAAGGGGAACTGATAGGAATGAACTCTGTCGGAATGCCCATCTGAAAGCACCACCCACTCTTCATCATTCCCTGTATTTGATAATGTCCCCTTGTTACTGGTGTTACTGATGTCTTCCTGAACCTTTACTTCAGAGGCCTCATCCTGGTGAAAGAAGGGCAATGAAAGCCAGCATCTAGCTGTCTTGCCTTTGCTGTTGGTGCACACACCCAAACCCTCACTGTGCAGTACCCAAACCTCACTCAGCAGCCTCAAGACTCACAGACCCCCAGGAAGACTTGAACCACCAAGGGAAGCCCAGCAGACCAGCTCTTGGCCCCTCTGCTGCTGCTCCTCCAGGTTTGATCGCAATGCAGGACAGAGGCATGAGGACACCCTATTTTGGGCCAGGATGCCTTTTCCTCCCCAGGACCTTCCTGCTGCTTTGCAGTTGGCCCTGCACCTGTGAGCAGCATTGGCGGAGCCACCACACCAGTGGTGCCAGTCCTCCTGCCATGACCTCAACCCCATATTCTCCTTGGACAGCCCAGCAAGTGCCCTGGTCTTTTGGGTGGTAGCTGGAGGTGGCTGAGCCTGTTACAGCTGTGGCAGCAGAACAACATGGGCATGGTAAAATCCTCACCGTGGGTTCACTGTGCAGAGAAGGGGGTTAGAGGTCCAGGACTGACTGCAGACAGCAAGGTAAGATGAGCAGTGAGAGCCCAGTGCTCCAGAGAGGGTCAGACAGTTCTCTCCAGAGTCCAAGGCCAGACGGTGACCCTCAGGAGAAGAAAGGATCTAAAATCCATCTCCCTCTAGGACAGGGTGCTGTCCCTGTCATCCATAAAAACTTGCTCTAGGCAGGTGAGGAGCAGAGCTGTGGGCTTTCTCCTGGCCCAAAGAGGACTCTCAGCTCTGGCAGAGCTGCTGGAAAGCACCGAGGTTTGGACAGCAGCTTTTTTCCTTTCACTTAGCTTCTCACTGGACTGTCACTGTCGCCTCCTGCTCCCACAGAGGGACAACTAGTCTGAAACAGAAAGGTCAGCCACAGCCAGCTCCCTCTCTTTTTTCAGGCAAATATTTCAAAGGGGGATTTTTCCTCTGATCAGGATCCCAAAGCCTGATACACGACTCCCCTCTAGTGGCTCCACAACAGCCAGGATTGAGAGCCAGACTCCGCTGGGCTGCAGCTGCTCCCGACCCTGCCCCAAACTGGGTGCCCAGCAGTGCCCAGCTAGCAGGTCTGCAGCACACAGCCATACCAACTCACTTATCAAAGTCATCATTAAATCAATACTAAGATTTTCAAACAAGTCAAGGGAGTTAATTTTAAGGTGAAACAGCTCTGGACATTTTCACTAGAGTGGAGAGACACATGGAGCTTATGAAGAGTCAAGAAACCCCTGGCGAAGGTTCCCCCTCACCTTCACCAGCAAATGAATCCTCTGCCCGGATTCTCTGACAAGGCTGTAGCGCTTTTCCAGACGGTCCTGACAGTCCTCTAGGCTTAGCAGTGATTCCTTTTTACAGTCTTTCCTCTCAAATATGGGCGACGCCCATGATCGCATGATGGTCTGGATCTCCTCAACATTGTTTTTGGCCTTCTGTATCCTCTGCTCGAGGTCATGGACATCATCCATCACCATGGAGATGTGATCGCAGACACCTAGTAAAAAATGAGACGACTGACTACTTGTTTTCAGAGCTGCTGGGCCAAGCTCTTGTGCACCCTCCTTAAAACCTGCCTCTGACTTTTTCCCCATGGCCTTATGTATTTCTCACCCGTCATTAACATGAGACTTACCACCTTGACGAACAGAGCCACTTCTAGCTCCCTCCTGCCCCAACAGGCCATGGTAGGGACAGCCTCAGCCTCTGCTTTCTGCCAGGAGTACCACTACCATGGGCATGTCTGACAGTTCCCACTTCTCTCTATCCAGGTTTGATCTCCCACTGACTGCTACCAGAGAGAGCAGCATGGGCAGGATGAGAACAACAGGCTGAGTGACCCTGCCACCATCACTAGAGCAGGGACCCATAGCCCTAACACATGGGCTGTGCAAACCCCAGGTACCAGAGAGGGCTGCATTTAGATGCAGAGAACTTAAGGTTCATCTGCAGGAAAATCCCTTCATCTTTATTGTGCAATGGAGAGAGAGTTTTTCCAGTGTGAGGACTTCTGCTCTGCATGTTCCCAAGGGAGGACGCTTGTTCCTATTCATACCACAAGCCTGATGACAGAAATATATATGCCACCTGTGAGCAGTTTTCTTTCACCAAGAGGAAACAAATCATCTTCCTCCGCTCTGCTTTGCAGTTAAAACTGATCAAGCAAGAACACTGGTTAAATCATCCCAAAGTCACGGTGCACAAAACCCACCTCTAACTGCAGTATTTCATACTTCTGGAAAAGATAATGAGGTGGCCCTGGCTCTCAGTGGGACAAGTCCACCTCAGTGCCAGATGGCTGTGCCAAGGATTCCCACTCCCTGCACAACTGGGTGAGAAAGCAGTGCCTCGGGGACACAGGCACACAGCCACACAACAGGTCACTTGGGCTGGCACAGGGGGCCCAGCACAGGCAGCGAGCAGGTGCCTCAACCCCAGCCTTGCCAGCTCTTGCAAGCCCAAATCTTGCCATCTCTTTGGTGGCACAGGGCAGCTTCTCCTCCCCTAAAGCCTAGGCTGAACCTGAAGGGAGCAGGATCCTGTCCACAACCCTAGCAGATCAAGGCAACATGGAAAGGAGCAGGCAAGCTGGGGGCTGCCCTTCATTTGCCCAACTCTGGCTCTGCTGGAGAGCCCCTGCCCTGCTGGGAACCGCAGTCGGGAGCCAGGTGACGGAGGCTGAGCACGTGGGGGAATCTGATGAGACCCAAGTGTATGTGCTCTTTCCCCCTAACACAGAGCTAGCTCACCCTCCATCTTCCAGTTCAGCGTTTCTTCTGCCTCTTTCAGCTTCAAGTCAATATCCCGCAGCTGCCCCTGTATTAGAGGGTATTCCACCTCCAGGACTGTCTTCAGGACCTTGTTGTATCTGTTCACCATCAGCTCCAAGTTGGCCACCATCTGCCGGTATGATTCCTTGGAGGAATAGATTTCTGTTGCCGTCAGTGGAATGGCTCCCATCTGGCTGCCAGACAGGTACCTCACCTCCCTCAGCACCGAAACGAGCTGGAGAAACAAGGCAGAGCGCTGAACATGAGACAATCCTCCCCATTTACCTGGTACTCTCCTATCAGTTCTGAGCATTTTAGGGGTTTCCTGCCGTTTTATTCACAAAGCAGCATGCTCTGAAAAGAGCCTGGACACCCACCAGTCCATACCACCTGTCCTCCATTGATCTTTGCCTCTGGTTTTCTTCCCAACCAAAGACAGACAGGTCTGTTAATTACCCAGCAGCAAACTCTGTGCAGCCTCTAAAAGCCATGAGGATATCTGGTCCTCTCAGCTATCCTCATCTATAGAGTCTTTCAGCAATACCGTGCCTGCAAGTGGAGCTTAGCAATTATCTAAGTGAAAGATAAGATGGCTCCAGTTTTGTTGGTTTGCTGAGCTGACTGGCTTAAAAAAAAAAAAAAAAAGGCAAAAAATAAAACAAAACAAACAAACAAAAAAAAAAAAAAACCAAAACAAAACAAACAAAAAACCTCCCAAACAACAAAAAAAAAAAACACCAAAACCATGGCCCCAAACCCACAGACTCAAATCCTCCTGTGGCCACCTTCCATCAAAGACTTCTGCTGGAGACCTCTCCCAGCCCAACCAAAGGCACTCAGTGCCAGTGCATGTTTGAGTTGACATCTGAGTTGTGATGGGACCAGATTGAGGGGGGTTATTAAATTATAAATCCAAGTATAAATGAGTCCCTGCAACAAAGGGAGCAGTGAGGTCTTCCAGTGCGATATATCACTTCTAAAACTAAAAATCTTTGCTCAGTTTAGTGACTAGTGAGAGGTAAAATGCTCTGGGAACTGCACGCGTTGGCAGGGTGACAGAAATTCAGTACGTTGTATGGGCAATGGCAGGGGTGAGCACCACTCCTGGCTGCAGCTGAACTTGGTGTGCAGCTCCCTAAGAATGACCTTTCCCTTAGGTTGGCAGATTGTATCCCTTCCTGATAAGGCATGGGGAAGAAATCTCTCTCTGATCCCATTCTGTTCATGCCCTCTGATCCCAAATCCTTGACCCTATTTTCAATAGGAAAACTGGAAAGCTGTAGGTATGAACAGAAGCAGGTGAAACCACAAGCACAACTGCATTTGTCATTGCCCTGGGTAGCAGGCAGGGGTTACTGAAACCTCTCCACCACTGCCTGACACTAGGCAAAATCCAACATCCAGCAGAAATGGCCAAGGCACCTGGGAAACAGGTTCCCTTGGAAGGGACAGCAAAGGGGAGGAGGGACATGCAATGTAAGTCAGGAAGGTAAGTCATAACACACTCAGAGTACCTACAGTACTAAAGTGACAATGAACACGATGACAAGAAGAGGAAAGAAAGAAGGGGTGAAGAAGGGTGCAGGGGGCACTCTGGAAAGGTGAACAATGGAGGATGGGGTGGTAAGAAAGGGAAAACCAGAGGACTGAAGGAGCGAGAGGGAAAACTGCATAGAACCAAGCTCCCCTCCCTTCTTTGCACTGGAATGTCTGGGACATTCCCACCATAGGGTCAAGGGTGTCTTCCCCTCTTTCCCTCTCCTCCATGGAAGGTGAGCTCTGGAAGACTCTTCCATGCTGAAGGATTGCAAATACATCCTCCTCTCTCTAAGCAAAATGAGGTGCTCCTATGGAGTCCTCCTTTGGAAGGCATGAAGGGGCTCCTAAGCGGCACTTAAGGACATCAGGCAGTCCTCAGAATGGAAAGCTGTGAAGAGCAGTACATAAGCACTCAAAAACTGGAGCTGAGATAAGGCATGCTTACATGCTGACAGTCTCCAAACCCTGCCACCACCGTGAAGGGTAGAAAAAATCCCCTGGGGCCATTTGGCTCCCACCTTAGCAAGAAGCTTCCAAGGACATGGACAAATCCTTTGACAGAGAGCCAAGCATGAATGAGCTCTAAATCCTAAACATCTTTCTTTAACACCCAAGGAAGAGGGGAAGTTTTTGATGCCAACGTTTCCCAGGCCCCTGAGATTCAGCACCTCCCCAGCAAACAGCATTTTTACAGTAGACAGACCCTGGCTCCCACCACACCCCAGGAAGCTTTCAGTCTATCTATGCACCCTGCTGGCTTGGACCCCTGCTTCTGCTTTGGGTGAGGTGGATGGTCAATCCTCCCTGTGCTGAAGACAGGCTTTAGGGGAGCTCTAGGGGACAGAGAAATGATCTTAAATCTATTGTAAGCCTCATTCACCACAATAAGGGAAATCCAACAGCCATAATATTGAAGTAACAAAACAAACCTTTCCTGGGTTCTTTACAACCTTTCAGGAAACTCAGATTTCAGGTACACATAACATGAACCCATCTCTGTAGATGACTCCCCACACCCCCCACACCAGTATCAAATCTGGTCTGGAAATGTTGACACCAGTTAAACATCTGGCTTCTCAGGGACTTTCTGTCACTGGCTTTAACTAGAATTTGCTCTGCTTAAACCGTAATCCTGGTATGGGATTTACCTCCTTACTAGGAGATAAAGGTCACAGAGGATGGCAAACTCAGGTTACCCATCACAGAAGGGGGTTCCACAGACTGCAGTAGAACAGGTCTAGTACCAATCCCACCAGACCTCCCGTGCATGGTGGGGCACAGCTTGGAGCCATGCCTGCAGGCAGGCAGGCAAGCTAACTGACAGCAGTTTTTACCTGGGGATCAAAATTGACAGTGATCAGTTTGGTTTCTGGATCTCGCTGGATGAGTGGTTGAATAAGGTTGTACTGTGATTTTTCAGACACTGTCTGGGACCAGCCTACATAGAGCTTTTCCTGATACCTGCCAGAAAAAAACAAAACAAAACAAAACAAAACAACAGCCCCATGTAACTACTAAGCCAGCATTCCAAGGTATATAATCAAATGAAAGTCAATCCTGTTTCTGAGGACTGAAGAACATCAAGGAATATTAAAAACCCATTCACACTCTCTGCACAAACAACATGGCTTCAAAGACAAACACTCAAAAACCAGTGACAGCATCAAGTCAGGAGGGCAAAGATCTCTCAAGTACCATTTTTAGCACAGGATTCAGATTTGGAGACATACTTTCAGAAGTGTTTAGCCTAAATAGATAAGCAGCTGCTGGGCATTTCCAAAGTGTCTAAGCAGGATGGGTACCTCAACAAATGATGGGTACCTAATACAAATGCTAGGGATGGATGCAGTTGCCCTCACTTCTCTCAGAGTCACTGCAGTCAGTCTCGGGGAAATTCAGCTCTTCGAGAACTCTGTGACACCACTGGGGATGGAAACAGAGAGGGCTGAATAGGGGTCCTGGTATCTCATACGGCAGGCACAGTCCCAACCACTCAAGCAACAAAGTCTCTTCTGAAACATATTGTCACCTGTGCAATTTGGGAAATGTCACCCAGAAAGCACCGTCTCTGTTGAAGTCACCTGGGATCCTTTGCTGGTCCGCTCCCTTCTTAAAGGCTGCACCACAATTATTCAGTGTTAGTTCTGGTAATCAGGAACAGGGCTCCCTCCAACCCCCCTGCAGCACCCAGCAGCCAGGCGTCTCAGCTCCCTTCACTGATGACAGAGAGCAGGCCCTGCAGCGACATCTCCTGCCTCGAGAGGCGGCTCTTCGCAAGGGAAAGCCCAGAGCAACCAGTTAAGATTTAACATCAAACGTTAAGATTTTAAGTCAGGGGTAATGAATCCCACTCCAAAGTTTGTAATATACACATTAGAGCCACTGTAAATACACTCTGTGAATGGGCACAAGTGGACTGAGAATTCCGCTCAGTCCAGGTTTTCTACCACAGCAGCTCCTCCATCCAACAGAAGCTTGTTCCAATGTTTCTGCTAGGCTGCACAGCCTCCATTCTTCCCATGCAACCTTCTCATTTCAAGACATGACAGAAAGACTGTGGTATATAGCCACAGGATTCCTCCTCTCTCATCAGAAAGTTCCCTCTGGCTTAGAAAGACACATTCCCAGGCCCTGGGCTGGCAAATGTGCTGGAAGGTGGCTTAGAGGAGAAGAAAGCTTTTTCATACAGTCACAGCTTTTCCTGAACCACCACCACCACCACCACTTACTTGTCAAGCAGCTGGATCATTTCTTCATACTTCTTTATCACCCTCCTTCCTTCAGCAGAGTCCAAGCAGCTGGAAGCAAAACAGAGCAGCTCAACACTATGCTTAGCTGTGTGAGGCCATATGCTGCGTTTACCGCTTCCCAAGATCATCCACCAGTTTGCAGGCAGACTCTGACTGGGGACCTTGGATTTCACCCCCACCACATCACCCAAAATTGTTGTGCTGCACAAAGGCTATGCAAGCCCAGTGCATTCTTTCTCGGGTGTTTGCACGGCAACCTGCAAAATGGCAACCACATCCTGAGAGGTGAAAAAGGGCTCAGTGCTGCTGAAGGAATATTGGTCTCTTTCACACATCTAATGCTCCCAGTTTCACACTCAGTATTTGCACAGAGCATGGCAAACTCTGCTTACCAGCCAGCACTTTCTAAGATCAAAGAGGCTCAGAAGGAGGAAGAATGTGACTCCTGGTATATGCAGCTCTTTGTGGTGCCAACTTTGTGCCCCTCAAACCGTAGGGGCAGGGAAGAGCAAAGGCATCCTGGAGCATGGGAGGCAGAGCCCTGGCCATGCTGCCAGGGCTATACAACAGCCTCCAAAACCAGGGAGGCAGCCAGCCAGAGTAAATCTTACAAGGCCATCATTTTCACATTGTTTCATCTACAGTATCCAAATTTTCCTGAAAATGGTTGACTTTGCAGGACATTTTGACAAAATATGAATTAACTTCAACAAAACCTCGCAAAGGTAGTGCCTGAGAAGTCACCACTGGGTAAGTGCTGATCAAACCTTCTGGAAGTAAACAAGCCCTCTAAGCAAATCCCACCAAAACCATCTCCATTCTTCCTTTTTAATCCCTTTTCCCTTTCAAGTTACACATAGGAAACAGCATCACCTCACCCCTGCTGCAGAGCATGTTATTAACTCTTTTAAACAGTGGGAAGAAAATCAATGCAAACTGCAGATCTGGGTCCTTCTTCATGGTTTACAAAATACATAATTCAGATTCAAACTAGACATGATAACCTGGGCTCTGTGCTGAGAACAGTCCAAGAGCTTGTTCATTGCACTGATGTCTTTACTGCTGCAGAATAACTGTGCACTTAAAGACGCTCACTTAATGGCAATACACTGTGAGAGAAAGCTACAGATACTGCACCATGATGGAGATGGGTTATTTTGGCTAAGTACATAAAAAAATAGTGGAACCATTTACTTAGAATCCTGTCCAGCACAAGTAAAGCTATTCCTGTGAGCTACAAGGTACAATCCCTGGAGTACTTTCAGTTGTCCCAAGTCCAACACTGCTTTGCCTACAGGGCTTTTCAATGCTGTCCCATACGGTGTCATGAGATGTGGCAGCTTTGAGTGTGGGGCCACACTTCTCCGAGACCACACATAATAACAAGGATTTGGTGATAAGTGTTCCATCACTAGTTTCCTTCCCTGATCTTGGGAGACTGATCCTTTGTTTAATGCTGAGAAAGTTGTCTTCTGCTAGTGCCAGCAAAGTCATCATCTGTTCACCAACCTGGAAATTCATCTTAGATGAGTCCAGTCCAGCACCTCTCTGCCATTCACAGCGTGGATGATGCCAGAACCAGGACTTGCAGCCAAAGGTTGGGCTGCTCCCAAGAAGGTCCTGGAGAACACGCTGAGTGGGATTGTGGTGAGGATTCCAATACCTCTTTCAACTGCAACCTAGGACTATGTCTGAAAGCTGAACAGCCCATGTGCTATCCCACTGTGCCTCTTAACCACATCAAAACAAATAAAGTAAGTTCCTTAAAAAAAAAAAAAAGATTGCAGGGAAGCAGAAGAGCACCGGTGCAATCACTTCACAACTCTTTGACTAAGGATTATTTCAGCTATAACCATTGGATAATGTTCAACACAGAAGGAAAATCAGATCCATTACAGAAAAGATATCAAGATGGTCATAAAGCAACTTAGCTGGAACAGACACGTACAGATGTGGGATGTGCCTGAAGTGACCAAATGGCACCTGGATTCGTGCTCGCAGCTCCCGAGCCCAGCTCAGTGCTCCAGCTACCGGTGGCATGTTCTTGTGCACAGAGGAGGGTCCTGGGGAGGACACATTGAAACAGCATTTGACTGAACACTGCAGTTGTAACCCCAAAGATACACCAGCAGAAAGTCATCTGCACAAAACTGCTCCAATTTCCCAGCTTCCTTCCTTAAACCCAACATCTGCTTCGCTGCTGTAGGTCTGTGACCAGGGCAAGTCTCCTAGTGCCTCTGGACCTTGAATAAGTATCTGAGATCAAAGGAGAAACCTGGCATATGTTAGAAACAGAGATGATACAGGGGCATCCTTTGCCTGGGATGCATTCCCTGCTCCCCACAAACAACGATGTAGGGATTTCTGACCAGGAGCTAGTTATGACCATCTTAACTAACACTCACAAAACAACACCTCCCAAAATTAGCAGCAAATGATGGACTCGTCCTCTATGAGTCTCTCCATTCCTTTTGTTAATCTGTACTGGTTCCAGCAGTGCTGCCTCTTCTGGTTCCAGTACAGTCTTTCTGAGGCAAGTAAACGGGTCACTGTTCAAAAAACCACACTCTAATCCTCATAATCAGATAGGAGTCTAACCACTCCCTCCCCTGCCAATGTTCATGGGAAATAACAAATGTAGAAAAGGCTGATTAAACCCTTGGTTACAAAATCCCAGTCACATGCCTTGCAATTACAGCATTACAAGGGAAAGGAAATAAATTCACATTGGGGAGCACACGAGCGGGACTGAAAGTCCCATGGGGTGCTCGAGGCAGCGCACAAGTGTGGAGAGAAACCCCTTGTCACAACTTTGCTGGGGCAAAAGCTCAGCGTGTGTCTTCATTCCCAGTCACATATCATGTATACACATTTTAAAAAGGATATTTTTCCCCCAAACAGATTATTTGCTTTAATACTAAGAAGAGAGCTTTCCTAGGCATTTCCATTTCTGCTGGGACCTATAGAGGCTAAAAACATTTGCAATTTAGGAAGTTTTGGTTTCCTCGGGAAAAGGAAATTTTTTTTGCCCAAAATTAATCTAAATCCCATTTCCTGTAAAATCAATTTTACTCAGCACATGCCACCCACCGAGCTCCAGCTCTGCCTGGATGTGCCTGGAGTAGATCAGCCTAGCATGGTCCAAAGCACTGCTGAACATGCTGATGAGGGCAGAGTATTTGTCAGCAGCATCTGCAGCAATTATTGGTCGCTCCAAAAGGTTTCCGAACATGTCCAGCAACTGTGGAGGTGAAAAAGCGGGGAAAGAAGGGAAAAAATTCACAACCCCAACTTCCACAGAGACACCTACCCAACGGGATCTTGCTCACTAGCCCAGTTGTCTGCGCCAATGGGCACTTTGGAGAAGGAAAATTTATTTTCCCTGCTTTTCCAAGTATTCCCTCCCTCTGTTACAGAGATGCTCAGACTTTCTCTGTGGGTGAACCATATTCCAAATGTTATTCTCCAAATTCTCCAAAATTTTCTGTTTTTTCAAAGACCTTAAGAAGACAAATACTATCACTTTCTACAGTCTTTTCTACAAACACGTGTATTGAAATTTTTCAGACAATATCATGTACTTTTTCTGCAAGACAGATTAATTCGTAAACACAACAGTCTTGTTTCTAGAAAAACCTGTTTCCAAAATTGAAATACATCCATGTATTAACAATATTAACAAGTTGTTGTTAACAATAATCACCTGGTTTTTAACAATGGTTCTCACCAGGAAATCTTGGAAAAAGCATAATCTTCTCCAACTCAGACACACAAATAAAACTCCTGGCATCCGAAAGCCTGATTTGAATTATTTCTTTGACTACTCTTTCTGAAACCGAACAAAGGTCTATTCTGTTTGTGTCTTAATGGGAAGAGAAGAAATACTCCCAAGGCTTTCAGCAAACACACTGCTGCCAGCTCCACAGCTTGACGGTTTGCGAGGAACCCACAAGCCTGAGCCTCACGAACCCAGACCACCCCAAGAGCTACAAGTCTCATTGTCCCCCTGTCCATTCCCATGAGCAAACACCAGCCCGTGCACCTGTAGCTACAGCACTGCCCGGCCTCCTCTGTGTGATTCTAACTCAGGCAAACTGTAGGCGCCTGAATTCCCTTCTACAGAAGAGAAGGCACACAACAGCCAAACCTTGAAGGCATGCTCCAAGTCTGAGGCATCATCGAAAGCCTGGATGAAAATAGTGCCCAGCCGGCGGTCAATGTCTTCTACTTTCTGCTGGAAATCAAAGGCATCTTGCTCAAACTCCTGCAGGAAGGCAAAACAGTGAACCGTGAGGCTGTGAGATGGCACCAAGAAGGTACCTGCAATCTTCTGATCCAGAGATCGTTCCTTTTCTTAATCACCATGAATTAAAACCACTCCTCTGGACAGCCTTCAGCCACTGCAGCGTGGCAAAGCTCCATGGAGCCTGAGGACATTTCCGTACAGTCCCACAGCTGAGATCATGGACCTCTAGGATAGATTCTTTGGCCCCGAGGTCTTTCCACAGTCCAACAAGCACTAACTTCAGCCTAGAGGCCAGATGGACTATTTCTGCACCCTCTCCCCCCTCAAGTTGGCCTGAAGGCTACACCATCATCCAGAAAACAGATGCACCTGCTGAGTTCCAAATCCAATCTATTTTCAAGCCGAAAGAAGCCTGTGGTTTTGATAGTGAGTGGCTGTAAGTGGGGCAACAATAAAGGCAGTTTCAAAACACTGGCACAGGTTGCCCAGAGAGAGATTGTAGCCTCTCCACCCATGGAGACCTTGGAGACATTTAACCTGACTGGTCACAGTCTTATTCTAGCTGAGCCTGCTTTGAACAGGGGAGGTGGACTAGGTGGTCTCCAGAGGTCCTCCCCCACCTCAACAGTTCTGTGTTTCTCTAATTTCCATCACCTTCTGGCACTGCTTTTCTTGCTCCAATTGTAAGAAATCCTTCAAAGTTCAAGCATAAAATCTAGGTTTGTTTTCCTACAGGTAAAAGAGCCCAAATCAAAGATGACTTGACAAACTGGGAAATTTCAGTCTTTCTGTCCTAGCTTGGACAAAGCCACCGAAAATTAGACCATATGTCACTTTTCTGAAAGGACAAAGCACAAGGCAACAGCTTTTGCTATTATCACTGCTGAGCTCCAGCAGAACCAGATGCCATGTTTTAATTAAAAAAGGGGCTCTAGAAAGTAACAGAGGATGCAAAACTCAAGCACTGAATGAACAAGCAGGACGAAGGAAGTGATCATCTCCCTGTACTCATCACTAGTGAGGCTGCACCTCGAATACTGGGTCCAGTTTTGGGCCCCTCACTACAGGAAAGACACTGAGGTGCTGGAGCGTGTCCAGGGAAGGGCAACGGAGCTGGTGAAGGGTCTGGAGCACAAGTCCTGTGAGGAGCAGCTGAGGGAACTGGGGGTGGTTGGTCTGGAGAAAAGGAGGCTGAGGGGAGACCTTATTGCTCTACAACTCCCTGAAAGGAGGCTGGAGCGAGGTGGGGGTCGGTCTCTTCTCTCAAGTAACAAGTGACAGGACAAGAGGAAATGGCCTCAGGTTGTTCCAAGGGAGGTTTAGATTAGGATTAGGAAAAATTTCTTCACTGAAAGTGTTGTCAAGCCTTACAACAGGCTTCCCAGGGAAGTGGTTGAGTCACCATCCCTGGAGGCATTTAAAAGGTGTAGACATGCCTAGGGAAATGGTTTAGTGATGGACTTGGCAGTGCCAGGTTAACAGTTGGACTCGATGATCTTAAGGGTCTTTTCCAACCTAACTGATTCTATGACTCAGAGTCACACAAAAGGCCATGGGGTCACTGAAACCAAGCCAGCTCCTGCACAATTCTTTCTGAGCCCCGCCTCCCGAAGGAGAGGTGACATGGAGCAAGCAGTTTTCCAGCAAGAACCTCCCAGGCAGCACTGGGGACATGCCACCCACTGCAGAGTTGTACCAGGAACTACAAGAAGCAAAGCACAAGCCACCCATCACCACACCAGACAGGTCCCAACATCTGAGGGAAAGGCACACCAGCCCTGTGTCCCACTGCCAGCCCAGCCACCTTTAACTCCAGCACAGTTTTTCTTAAGGGAGCAAAGTAGGAGCCTGCTGGAGGGATGATTTTGCTCTGGAATTATCTTCCACTTGGATATCTGCCATGAACAGCTGCCCCATGAGCAGTGTGAGACTGAAGCTTCTCATCACAGAGCTTCCCTATGGCCACTCCCGTTTTAGCACTCCCTCCTCTAGATGTGTGAACAGGCCAACCATGTCCTGCTCACCAGGCACAGAAAACTGACTGCAGGGCAAATGGGACAAGCAGCAGAAAAAAATCAAAGATCTTCTGAGATCAGACACAACCATGGGACACAGACCCCTTCAGAAATTCCATTCCCACCCTTCCTTCATAGCTCACCCAGGCTCTGCTGCTCGGTGTCAAAGCCAAGAACAGAAGTTTCTGAATAGACAGTAAGGAGGCCTGTGGCATGTTTGCTTTGCCCTGCTTGCACAACACATGTTACTGCAAGCATCTGTGATCTGGATGGCCACTGAGCCATGACCCAGAGGGCTGGGAATATTCCTTTAATTAACGCACTACTGATAATAAAATACGGAGTCCTTGAACTCTGAGAGCACCAGATGCCATGCATTCAACTAGACAAGAGCAAACACATTCCCAGAGATTACCTGAGCTGGCCTTCATCAGGCAAGCTAGACATCAAGAGCAGGAAAGCAAAGAGACGTAAGTGTTGTTACAGCTTATACACAACAGCAAGCATCACGTACAGGGAAAGCTTGTGTAAAAGGCAAGGAAATCCAGGTTTTCCAGATGCACTGGTCTAAGGTCCAGAACTAGCAAGACATGCTAGACATAGACCTGCAAGAACTCCCAAATCGCTGCAGGAAAGGCCAGTGACTCCCTGTTTCCTACAGTGACAGATCAGATTATAACAAAAGGAGGAAGGAGCTGGGAAGAAGTCAGCAAGACTGCACATGAGCCAGAGCTCTGTTGCAGAGGAAGCTGCTGCTTTGGAAACATGCACATGTTGCTGGTGGTCCCAAAAAATGATCCCACCTACCGTATTGGTCAGCTCAAGACAGTCATAGGTTTGCTCTGCAAACACCTTGTATGCCTCCTGGAATTCTTCATACATGTCCAGCACCTGCTGGCCCAGGGCCTTCCCTTTAATCCCGCTGAACTCAATCTTTTCCAGCTTCATCAGGTCCAAGGCAGTTGACAGGATATCCTTCAAAGCCAATGGAGGCACACACAGGTTAAGATGTTGACAAAAGAAGATGGCAACAGTCATCACAACACACAGCTACACTTGCTGTCATGCCGAAGTACCTCCCCGAGCACACTGCTGGTGCTCAAGCTGAGTGGAAGGAAGCAGGGGGAGCCAGATCTGCCCAACCTGTCCTCGTCATCAGCTGCTACTCATAACATGTCCCTCCCTAGTGGGATCTGCTGCTGACACCAGAAGAACAACATAGAAATAACAGCTGCCCCTTGCTTTGTCTTACAAGGTTGCTTGAAAAGAAGAGGGGATGGAAAAAGTGATGGGGAGAGACAGAAGCTTTCCTAATTAACAGGCTTGTGTGCACTATGTTTTTAATTGTTATTTTACAGCTCACTCCACAGGTCTTCCCCCTGACTGCATATGCTGCAGCCATTTACTGTCCCAGGAGGTGTGGGACAGACATGGAAGGAGGACACTGGCACCGGCCAAAAAGCACAGTGCTCTGCCACCACAGCAGGGCATGTGCAGCTCAAAACCTCTCGATTTTTCCTGTAGCCCATATCCATAATACTCAAGCAATGAGCAATCGGTGCCCAGAGCCTTTGCAGAGTGATAGTGCATAATTACTGTCACTCATACTGTTCTCACAATGACCTGCAGTTACTCCTGCGTCTGCTTAATATTCCTCTCTACATTGGCCAGCACAAACTGGTTAGCTGCACACCGAACCCTACTGGAAACCATCATTATGAACAGTTTTATATTAGATATCATTCATGGTGGTTTTCAACATACTTAATTAAAGAATGCACAAATTTATATAGTGTGTTTAAACCAGTAAAACCTTCTGTTTGACTGGAAAGGAGAGAACAGGGTTGCTGCCACACATTCAGACTTGCTGTCTGCAGAATAACATCCCCTCTGGCTCAAGGAGCCCTTGGCCACACTGGGAGCTGAGGGACAATGGGATTCATGACACCAGATGTCCCTGCCTCAGATGACCATCTCACAGTGACAAGCCTTGGCAAACAAGGACACCCTGAGTCACAGCACCCCTGGTGGACAGACCATTAGGACGTGAAGGGATGCCCTGGAGAGGAATGTGTCCCTGCTCCTCCCCAGGCCCATGTGCCACAGCCAAGAGGGGCCCAGCCCCAAGGGGAGCATGTGGCCTCTCCAAGTCAGGCAGGACTCAGCTCTAAGGTGTCTCTGATGGCAACAGGAGAACTAGAAGATTGTATTGCTTTATTTACAGCTGTGTAAACCACAGCCCCCAGTAATCCCCATTCCCTTGCCCCAACAGGAACAAGGAGTCCAAGAGGACTCTTGGGAACAATGATACACCCACCAACCTGACCAGAAGGACACAGCTGTGTATCTTACACATGAACTGAGCAGGCCATGGTAAAACAAGGACATTTAACAGCAGTAACAGGAGAGCTAACAGCAAAGAGGGTGGCACCATCCCCTAGCATCAAGCCGAAGCTACAGGAAGGGAAGATGCCAGCAAGTGAGTTCATGGCTACAGAGCTCTCCTGAAGGCTTGCAATATTTTTCAAGACCAGAGTCTCACCTCCACCATCTCCAGTCTCTTCAGGAAGCTGTCCAGCCTTGCAAATACCATTGTAGCGTGGAAGTCCCACTCCCTCACTTCTTGGCCTGGTTCATAATATGTGTGCAGTTTTTCTCTTCTCTCTTCAAATGCCCCTTTGAAAGCATTCAGGATGCCAAGCACCATTTGCACCTTGCCTAGGCTCTCTTCCATCTCCCCTTTCAGAAGGTCTTCTGGAGACAGGTAAACCAGGGCCTGGAAGAGCAAAAATCACACCTGAGAGATCACTTCTGCTGTCACAGAAAATGGTGACTTCTTGCGCTGAACATGTTTGAATCTACCTCTCAAGTTAAAAATCACTTTGCCAGGAAAGGATGGGGAAAAGGAGGAGAGAGGACTTTCATAAAAAAAAACCTTCCCTTGGCAAACACAGGCATCATGGCCACGCACCTTCTGAATGAGAAGGTTGCAGATTTCCTGGAGTAGCACTACTATCCGCACAGGCACGTTGTAGTGCTTGGAGGTGACCCAGATCAAACACACCACGTGGAGCAGAGGGACCAGGAAAGGCTTCATCTCGCTGAACTCAATCCTCTCTATGTTCTCCAAGGGGTGCTTGAGGGGCATCAGGTGCAGGTGAATGTCCTGAGCTTCGGTCAAAGCTGTGTGAAGAGATGGCAGAAGTGGTATGATCCACCAACCTGTGGTGCACTGGGTTAATGAGCTGGATGCTTGCCTCACCTCACCGGGTGGGAAGGTGCCTGGGAAAACAAACAGTCCTGACAAGCACAAAGCACAGTCACCTACCTGTGTGCTGAAGACTGCTCACCCACAGCAGTAACCAGAACAGGAAATAAACTGACATGATGGTAAGAGATGGGGAGCTGGGACAGGGCTTTGTGCAGGTGCTCAGTCCCCAAATGCTAAATGAGTTGCAGGGAATGTGCCCAGCAGCGCAGAAAGTACAATGCTGCCAACACTATGAGCAGGCTACAGGCATTGCTATACAGCATCACAGGTGTTGTAGCAGCACAGGTCTTGGCCTGAGCTCATTTTAGCTCGGGTTTGGCTATAGCAGCTCCTTACCCAGTGGACAGATGACCATGGTCCCTCTTGTCCTGGCTGTAACAGCAAACCTGTCAACAGCAAGGCAACTAATGTTTGACTAGTTGAAAGCTTTAGCTTAGCTTTGTACAGCTGTGTGGTTTTACCCTGAAGAATTATCCCAGAGTGCAAGCATTAATAAAAGCAGGTGATCATTGTGCAATTAAACCTGGGGACCAACAAGAACAGAAGTGACAGGAGTGCTTGAACGCCTATAAAAATAACCCCCAAAACCCAAGACTAAGGAAGAAATAACTCCCACTATGAACATTGCCCTTCCAGCAAAGATGACAGACAACAGCCACACCACCACATCAACAGAGTGGGCACACTATGGCAAGGGGCAGAGACTTAAAAGCACATGCATACAAATCTGAACTGTGTTGTAATGGAAATTAACAATTATAGTCCAAATTATCCAATTAGGGTTAGTATTTCTGTAACTGGATTAAAACCAAATATTTGTTGTATTTTGATTAGATCCTTAAAGCATTAATTAGTCTTACAATGAACTCTTGGCTCCTTATATAAGGGGTGTTTCTCTAGCCCATATAAATTGCACAGTGTAGAATGTGACACAGACCCTTAATAGAGTAAATGTTTCCACATGAAGGAGTGAAGAACAGCATTGTCAGTCAGCATGTACATAGCTGGCAAAGTCTGAATGGTTTTGTCTTGCCAGAGACCAACTGGATTGAAGATGGACATGGAGGGTCAGCCGTGTCGGTCTATAGGGTAGGAAGCAGCAGAACTATACTGTTTTCCACTACGGAGGGGAATTTGCAGTGTTTCCTTTGGCTGAACTGAACTCCCCTAAACAGAGTTCACCAGGAAAAAGATGATTCAGGAAAGCTGCATTTTTTAAGGTAGAATTTTTTTTTCACCTACAGGCAATAAATAAACCCTCCCTATAAGTCTTCTTATGAAAAAAAAAAAAAAATCTTTAATTTCCTAAACTGGAAAATGCAATCTTGCCATTTTTCTGTTCAAAGCTCTCTTGTCTTACTGCATTGTGCCAGACTGGCAAAATAAAGGTGAGAAGGCAGATCTGCTGCTGCACACGACCACCTACAGGTCACCCGCCCCGCCGGCACCCTCGGGGCTAGCTCTCCCTGACAAAGTGGCCCAGATGGCTGGGGGCTGGCCAGCCCCTGCAACCCTGGCGGGACATTACTGGACGGGGATGTGGCCAGAGATGTGGGACGTGAGGCTGTGCTCCCTGTGCACCAGGCTCACGCTCGTGCTGCAGCCCCTCACTGGTACCAGACCTCCCCACCGCACTGCTATGACGCAGGATGCAGAGCTCTGCCTCTGCCCAGCTCTGCCTGGATATGGGCACAGCTGCAGGGACCCTGCTTTCCTCTCGTGTGACACAGGTGACCCCACCTGCCTGCTTTCACCAGAGGCTTTGAAATCCTCATGCTCAAAGGTCCCCATCCTGAAGTGCAAACTGCTGTTCCTTTAGAAAGGAGGTTCAGGTTGCAGCGGCCAAAGCCTGAGAAATAGCAAACGGAGTACTTTCTGTTAACTACATAATCTGTCCTCTTATCCTGAACCCCCATTCCTGCAGACTGACACCAGAGGAGCTGACAAAAGTTGGGATGAGTCCTGATGGATTAATGTGAATGCTTTATTACAGCAGATTACATTCCCAAATCCACTCACCCTGACCTTTGGGAAAGGTCTGGTTCAGCAATCAAGCTTGTCCCAGCCTGGAAACAAAAGCATCAGATCAAGCACAAGCAGCCCAGTTTCACTCTATAAACCAGAAAGAGGGCCAGAAACAAGGCTGTAGTCCCCATGGTCACAGCAAAATCCAAATGGCCAGTGCTGTTACAGCCACAACGAGCTTACAGCCAGTAACACCAGGCTATGAAAAAAGGCCAGAAGAATTCGCATGACACAGAAGTCAGCATTATGGTGAAGTTGTCTCAGCATCTCACCTGCCTCAACATCCACGAGCATAGCTTTGAAGGCTGGGACATAACTGCTCTCAACTCTCTCCAGCACCTCCATCATGTTCCTGACCTTCTTTGTTCTCAGCTGATTGTAAATGCATTCCAGGTCATCACACCTGCAGCAACCAAGACACATTACAAGCCCATTTTAGGGCAGCATCAGCTGTCCCCCCACATCATCCATTTCCCCTGAGCCTGATTCAGGATTTCCTCCAGCTACACACGGACTGAGTCCCAACAGTGAAAGGGAATGGGAACAAGTTCCTGCAGGAAGCACGGACGAGCGCTACAGGACAGACAGATGGTGCTGGAGTTCATACTAGCAGGACACAGCTGAAAGAAGCCATGAGGTGTTTCTGCAGGTATTAGAGACAGCTCTCCAGCAAGCAGGGCTCTGCCCTGAGTCAGCCCAAACCCACGTGGCACAAACGTTTTCAAAATGCAGGAGGAAATTCCACTCCCTGACTCTTGAGCATCTAACCCCCTCTGGCACTGACAGATGACCAGCAGCCAGCTGAGGTACAGGGTTTGCAGAAGGCCCTGCAGAAGGTGTCCCTCAGCTCTTACTCCTGCAGCTGGTTCCTAGTGAACACTGCCGGAAAGAGCATTTCTAAAATAATTCCCTCGAGGTGTAGCCCCTGTGCTGGGGCTAAGTTAGAACACAGTCAACTGCCCAGTGACCTCACAGACACTTTGCAGATCATGATTATTTTACGTGTGTGAGCAATTTTCCTTAGCTCGAGTCTTTACAGGAACCTGAGGCAGCCTGGCTCTTCTCAGCTCATAGAAGTAGCAGCTCTGTCACCAGCACTCCCCCTCCACCCAAAACCAGTGCCAGTGCCCACCCCCCCCAGTCAGGCTGCCCAGGGTACCTGTTCTTCCAGAACTCCAGTTCAACCTTCGGGTTAGGGTTGCTGCCTTGCAGGAGAGGTTCTGAAGACTCCTTCCTCAGCACTCCCTGGATCTGGTGGCTCCAGTCTATGATGGCTGACTCAGTGGCATGTACAAGAGATTTATCTATTAGCTCCAGGCTGCAGGAAACAGACAACAAGATTACCTTTGCTTTCTACTTGTTGTGCATTGCTCGGTTGGATTTGCTTCAAATAACTGTGTGGGCAGCTGGATTTTACAGATTACAGTCTAACTTCACATTTCAAAACCACAAAACAATCAAACCCCATAAGATTTTGCCATTATTTTAATACAGGAATTACACCCTGGAGAAAATGGGTGAAGCTCTGCAGCACTGTGGGCAACAACACATTGTTCATAAAATGAATGGTGGAAACGAAGAGCGAATTGCCACCCCTCTGCACAGCCAGTCACTGTTGCATCAGACCCCTTTGGTTCAGGGTCTGACCTGGAGAGCCATACCTCCAGAAAGATTATCTCTCCCTGTACTGTTCTCCCTGAATCTATTCTATCTCCCCACAGTCTTTAAATTGCTAGATTCAGAAACTACATGAAGTGGGCTGGAATGTTGAGGGCAGATCTCCCCACTGCCTTGGAATCAGTAACTTGTCACACAATCCCACCTGCACCACATCCTCTCTGAGGAGTGATTAATTCCACTGCACTCACTAACACATCTCCTGAGGTCCCACAGGTGCAAGCATGAGGCCCAGACATGACAATGACATGATGTGCAAATGCATCTGTCTCTATGGACCTTCCAGACTGTGTTATTTTGGACTGGGACAGTCTCACAGCACTGCAACAGTCAAAATCCTTCCACCCCAAGTTTCAGGCACCAATCTGGTGGACCAAGGTGGGAGTTCCCCACATCTGCAATGTGAGCACCCTGCCAGACCTATCAGCTAGCAAAGGATGGTGATTCCTCAGCTGTTGGACATCTTGCAGGATAAAGACTGGCTGCACATGTGGCTGCCCAGTGATCTGGACAGAGTGATCGGGTGCACCCTCTGTGAGTTTGCAGGCGACATCAAGTTGGGTGGGATTGTTGATCTACTTGAAGGCAGAAAGGCTCTACAGAGGGATCTGGACAGGCTGGACCAATGGTCTGAGGCCAATTGTACAAGATTCAACAAGGCTCAGTGCTTGGTCCTGCATTTGGGTCACAACACCACCATGAAAGGCTACAGGCTTGGGGCAGAGTGGCTGGAAAGCTGCCCAGCAGAAAAGGACCTGGGGATGTTGGTTGACAGCCGGCTGAATACGAGCCAGCAGTGTGCCCAGGTGGCCAAGAAGGCCAACAGCACCCTGGCTTGTATCAGAAATAGCGTGGCCAGCAGGACTAGGGTAGTGATTGTCCTTATTGCTCTACAACTCCCTGAAAGGAGGCTGGAGCGAGGTGGGGGTCGGTCTCTTCTCTCAAGTAACAAGTGACAGGACAAGAGGAAATGGCCTCAGGTTGTTCCAAGGGAGGTTTAGATTAGGATTAGGAAAAATTTCTTCACTGAAAGTGTTGTCAAGCCTTACAACAGGCTTCCCAGGGAAGTGGTTGAGTCACCATCCCTGGAGGTGTTTAAAAGACATATAGACACAGCACTTAGAGACATGGTTTAGTGATGGACTTGTCACTGCTAGGTTTACACTTGGACTCAGTGATCTTAAGAGTCTTTTCCAATCTAAATTATTCTATTCTATAATTCTATTCCATGATTCTAACTAGTCAGAAAATCTGTGGTGGCTTTCCTGGGGATTGTCCCTCAAGGACTGTAAGTAGAACTTCAGAATCATGACAGCTACCACAGAGATCTAACTATGAATGGAGAGAACCAAAATTATCAAAGTTGTTCATTTATTTCTTTAAGAGAAACATAAGGAAATGAAATGGGTGTCTGGGAAGCTGTCTGGGTTGAGTGAGTGGTGGGTTTTTTGGTAGCAAGGGGGGGGGGCTATAGGGGCAGCCCCCTGTGAGAAGCTTCTCAAAGCTCCCCCAGCTCCAAGTCAGCTCCACCTCTGCACCAAAACTGAGCCCATCAGCCACTCCTCTGCGATAACATATTTAAGAAGGGACGTGGTGAGGAGCAGTGGCTGCAGCTGCATGAACACCAAGGTCAGTGGAGGAACGGAGGAAGAAAGGAGGGGGGAGGTGTGCCGGAGCAGAGACCCCCCTGTATCCTGTGGGGAGACGGCAGGGCGGCCCCCCCCTGCCACCCATGGAGATCTACGGTGGAGCAGACATTGATTTATGGCCTGTGGTTTCCGCATGGATAATCAAGATGCTCTGCCCGAAGAAGGCTGGGGTCTTGTGGGAAAAGGCAGCCCCCGCTGCTGTAGTTCAGCGCTGGGAGGATTGCAGCATGCGGGGGTGTCCCACACCGGAGCAGCTTGGGAAGGGCTGCAGCCGTGGGAGGGACTCCAGTTAGAGAAAGTTGGTGACCCATGACAGAGCAGTTCTCAGAGAAGATGTTCTCAAGATGTGGCAATGCTTCACACTGTCGTACTCTGTTAAGTGTTTTTAGTGTCTGTAATAAATGTATGTTCTTTTGTTCTTCCCCTAACAAGCCTGCCTTTTGCCCATGACCATAATGGGTGATCTACCCCTCCCAGGCCTATCTCAACTCCCAAGCCTGGCTCATTTGACCCTTCTCATTGCTGGAAGAGAAGGGAGGAGTGAGCAGCTATGTGGTGTTTGGATGCCGACCAGGCTCAAACCACGACAGAAGCAATCCTACTTCTCCAGGAGGACAGGAAAACAGGTTCCAAACCTTTCTATGGGACCATGAACAGTTTAGGAGGTTGCAGGGAGTTGTAGGTGTTTTTTCCTGTGCCTTTGCATGATAAATCTGGTTTTAAAGGGAGACAGAACAGTTCTGACTGAGCAGGCAGCATGAATCACTAACAAGCGAGTCATTTAACTTCAAAACAGTACATTTTGAGAGCATGCTTTGACAGACAGAGGCCAGAAAAAGAGAGAATCCTGCCTTCCCATTCAGTGGCATCAGGGAAACAGGAGAGGTTTTGCCTGCAGGGTTTGAGTTGTTTCCTCATTGATCCAAGCAGCTCATTGCTTCTCTCTATGACCACATGACTTACACTGAGTTTTTCCTACCTGAACTGTTGCACAGCCCCCAAAGCCAGAGCCCACAAACTAGAGAGCAGCTAGAGAAAAATACACCCATCTTGGTAGTCTGGATGAGCAGCAGATGATGGGGAGAAAGAGTCCCCATGACTGGGAGTAAGGGTTCCCAGAAGACACAGCACATTCATCAGCAAGAGAAAACCCAGTGGAGAACAAGGGGTGCTACTCACGATTCTTCATTTTCCAGATCAATATCTTCGATTCCCTCCGAGCCAGCTGGAAGAGGCAGCAAGGTCTTGCCCTTTACTTGGCCAACCACCATGTAAACAGCACTTTTTAGGCTGTGGACATGATGTATAATGTCTTGTGACACCACTCGTGGCCAGCCTTGATGGTTCTTCTGGTTTGTCAGGATGGGCACAATCACCTGTAGCAGAAGTCATCAAAGAACAATGGAAAAGAAAGTGCTACAGGAGACAGACAAGCGATTGGGCTCTGAGGCCCTTACTTGGCCAAGCCTGGAGACTCATATTCACTGCTGTCTCAAGCAGTTCCCTGCCTATGTGAAACAAGGGCAGATGATGATGAACGGGCCTCTCTACAGGCCCACTTTGAATTCAGGGGAGCGGGTGTACTGGTATACAATCAGCTGGCCAGGGTGGAAGCCAGCAGACAAGTGAGCAGCCCCATCCTCGGCCTCTCCCAGCCCCTCAAACCTGCAACTAGAGATAGCTCCATGGGCTCCTGTCCCCTTGCCCTCACAACAGCTCCTGGTGCTTGCTCCCCATGTCACTGCCAGTAGGCAGGGCAGGCAGGCAGGCAGGGGCACGGGCTTCAGGCAGCCTTTTAAGACTAGCAGGGCTGTCCCTTGACGGCAACCCCCCAGGGTGCTGAAAGGAAAGGTCTTCTAGTACCTCCAGGGATCTACTGCTGGTGAGGGTCACCTAGGTCCCCATCCCAACTGTACTGCAGGTCTTGAGCACAGACACTTTTTAGGTTATTTTCCAGGATTGCAGCCCACTAAATATGATTTTTATCGGTGAAAGTTCCCCGGGTCTGTACTGACCCCACAGCATGGGGTCTTGGGGCTGGTCTTGGCTTGCCTGGTCCTGAGCTGCTTTTGGCTTGTTTGAGCTGTGATACCAACACAGTGTCTGTCACCTACCCTGGGCTGGCTCCGCTCTGGGACCAGCCTGTGGCAACAGCCAAGGTTGGCAACTCACCAGGGGCTGAGTAGGGTCTCCACTCCAGTGCACCTCACACACCCCCTCCTTTATTCCACTGACCTCCATGTTTGCAGAGGTGCCTCCCTCACAACTCTTCCTCCTCCCCCCAGGTTCCCCTTCTGAAATACGTTATCCCAGAGGTGCAGCCATTGTTGCTAACCAGCTCACCCCTGGCCAGAGGTGGGTCCAACTTGGAGCCCAGGGAGCCTCAAGAAGCTTCTCACAGGGGCCACTGCTGTAGCCCCCTCCCCTGCTACCAAAATCCCTGCCACAGTAACCCAACACAGTGTTACCGGGCTCGGGGGAGGCTGAAGTTATAAAAATAGCTACAAATGGACACAAAACTGAAAAGGAATAAAGAAGCCCAGCACCACCACAGTCTGAGGATGCTGCAGATCCCTTGTAGCCATGACTGGCACTGCAGACCTGAGGAAGACCAGCATCAGCAACCTTCATGCCCAGGGAGCCGCAGGAAGGGGAGCACAACCCCAGGGAACACAGGTGGGTACTGAAGAGTTCACCTTCAACTGTTTTAGCTGCATTATTAGTAAGATTTATCTCTGTTAATTAAATCATGTGGAGTCCTAATGCTAGCAATGTTGTAATTAGACAAATGATAGCTGTTTATCTTCTTTTTGACTGTTAAAAGGATAATTGGACTCACAATGAAGCCCCAGCTCCACAGAGCAGAGGTGTGCTCCCTTCAGACATCACAAAAGTTAAAGGTGACAAGTAGTCCCAGCTGTGATCCGCAGCTCAGCTGCAGTTCCTCACGAAATAAAGACACGCTTTCAGTGTCTATTCCTGATGTCCCAAATGACCCACAGAAAGTTTGACATAAACTATTTTTTTCACTGGACAAAGTCTTCTAAGAATGTCCTAAAAACCTCTGATAAAAGACTCTGCAAGAAGTGCTCGTGCAGCCGGCAGAGCAAGGCATGTCCCCAGCCTCAGGAAACTGAAGACCTTTTTCATCTTCACACAGACCCCCCCGCCCTCATCCTCCTCATCGAGCACCACCACTCTGTTTTCCTTGATGAAGTTTGAGAGGAAAGTGGGACCAAACCCAGGCACAATCTGTTCCCTACAGCAATACTGCATGTCTGCATGGCGGGGAGAGAAAAGCCTGCGAACACACAGTCAGGATGCACAGTCCCAATGGCTGAAGGCAACCAGAAAACAGGATCTAACAGGATCTGCTAAAGTGTTCCCACCCCAAAATCTCCCTGTGGCAGATGGTGTTTACAATGCCTATCACGTTACCTGCCATCATTTACAAACAAAGCCCCGGTGCAAAACCCACTATTTGTGAAGACTTACCAAAACCGTGGGGCTCATTGAACACCTCAAAACAAAAGCTCCCTGTGTACCTAATGCATTACCCCCAGAAAACCAAGATAACCAGTCTGGCAGCCTGCTCTTGGGAATCCAGTCTATTGGTCACCACCTTGATATACCAACAGCATCACCAGAGTTTCTCAAATCAAGCATCTCCTCTACTTTCCCATTACAGCCTCACTACTGAGACTTCTCCAGGTCAGGGGGCCATAAATGGAGACAACACTGCCTGGTGCAGGCTGCTAACGCAGGAAGGAGAATGCCCTCGAACCAACCGAAGATCCCTTTGGGAAAACATCAGCCCACCTGAGGTAACCAGGCACTGAACTACAGGAAGCTCCTTCTGAACATCAGGAAACACTTCTCCACTGCAAGGGCAAGCGAGCGCTGGCACAGGTTGCTCAGGGAGGTTGTGGAGTCTCCATCCTTAGAGATACTTAAAAGCCACCTGGACGTGGTCCTGGTCAACTGGCCCTGCCTGAGCGGAGGGCTGGACCGGATGACTTCAAGATGTCCCTTCCAGCACCCACCACTGCGATTCTGTAACGCGGATCAGCCCCACAAGGACACCACAACTAGAGGCCCAGAGCTAACGTGGATGAGGATTCAGGTTTAGGTGAATTCCAAAGCCCCGCCGTGAGCTGTGAAGGGCAGAGCTGAGGGTACAATCACATTCGGGGAGGCGGGGGGGAGGCCGCGGCGCCTGTTCGCGGGGGCGGACATCTCCGCCACCGCCTTGTGCGAGGGGCAGGGCCCGGCCCCGCCGGGGCCACCTCCCGGGCCTTACCTCCTCCACGAGGGCGGCGAAGTGCCGCAGGGCATCGGCGGGCAGGTCCCCGCAGAGCAGCTCCCCGGGGCCGGCGCCGGGGGGCCGGAGGAAGAAGAGAGCCTTGGGGCGGGCGGCGGCGGCGGGCGGCGGGGCCGAGCCCAGGGCCAGCTCCCCGGCCGGGCCGCGCCAGGCCAGCAGCGCCGGCCCCGCCGCTCCCCTCAGGAAGTCCCGCAGCAGCGGCCCCGCCGCCCCGCCGCCCGCCCAGCGCTCCGCCCGCACCCCCAGCCCCCGCGCCGCGCACCGCGCCAGCCGCTCGCCGGGCTCCGGCCCCGCCGCCGCCATCCGCCCGGTGCCGGCCGCTGTTTGCGGGGAGGAGCCGCCGTTGCCCGGGGGACGCGGGAGCGGGGCGGCCCCCCGGGAGCCGAGGGCGGATCCCTTCCCCCCGCAGCCCGGTTTTGCCTGACACCGGCACAGCTCCGAGTGCCCAGGAGCAATCTGCTCAGCGGTGAAGCTCCCGAGCACAGGCCCGGGGCGTTTGCCTACAGCAGGCGGAGGCAGGTCCCTCCCCGCACCCCCCATCTCGGTGCTCTACAGCCCTGTACCCGCAGCAACCACCTGGAGCCGGAGGTTGGGTGCGGGGGTCTCCTAACACTGCTGTATTTGCATTTTATCAGTACCTTGATGGGAGTAGTTTATCCTTTTTTAAAAGAAAGGCCTCACTTCTATGCAAAGAAGCACAGGAATCGTGTGCAGGCCGGAGGCTGCTTGTCTTACCACAGCAGGCACCATGCCCTCCCCCGAGCACCCCAACAGGATCCTGTTTACACCTGCCTAATAACCGATACCTGCTCTGCCTTTCCCCAGGTTCCTGCTATCCTTAAAAGCCCAGCAGACCCTGGCGTAGTACTCAACTGTGACAATTACCCAGCTTCTGCTTTAGACAAGCATAATATTAAAGCACAGCTAATCAACAAGACAGTTTGCTGCCAGTTTGTGTCTTAGTTCTCCATCACCTTAAAATGAAGTCTTAAATCTTTAACATGCACTAGTATCATCTGCTGAGCAGTGCTTGGAGGCCCCGTGCCTTTGAGTTGACTCTGAAAATGAACTCCTTAATTGAAACAGCACGAAGTTCTCCCTCCAGCTTCCAAACACATGCAGTTACAGCACAGGTAAGAGAAGAAACAAAGCTGACCCACAGAAAGCCTCAAAACCACTCCTCTTAAGCACAGAGCATCCCCACATCCACCTGCTTCACCAGCTTTTCTCTCCCCTGCATCCAGAACTGGAACCTGCTCGAGGAAACTCAGCTGTGTGTGCTGGAGCCATTCAAAAGCAGCTCCAGTTGCTACCAAGCTCGAACTGACACGTGAAGCTCCTGGCTGTAGGGTTACAGAGGCAGGTATGATTTTGCTGGCACAGAAGAACAGGCATGAGGCTCCAGCACTGGGGTGGGATCTTGGTCTTTACACCAATGCTGTAATGCAGAAACAGCCAACAGAGGTCATTCTCTGGAGCAATTCAGGTATGTTTTCCCTCACTAAGTCCTCATTAGCGATCTAGACAAAACATAGCCTCTTGTACGATCTTGAGTGGTTTATTCAGATTCTAAATTAAGGTTTTGGAAAACTGATCTTACGAAAAAAAAAAATCAGCCGGGGAAAACAAAATAAAATGGGAACACAGCAGCAATCACATCTCTAACTTAAAAATTAATTGGGTCCCATTTTATTGTGAAATTTCCTCCTATGGTCTGGGTTCTGATACCTAGTTACATTCCTCACAACCCGGAGACCTGCCCACCTTATTCTGGCGAATCCATGGGCCCCCGAGGGCTTCTTAAACCTGATCTGTTGCAAAGATCACAACTGCTGCTGTTACATTATCAATAGCTTGTAGCATAAAACCAAAAATTAAAACCGTTCAGAAAAGAACTCTTGGCTAAAAGAAAAATGACACATGGACTGGTAAGACCGAGCAAGAGGAGCTGTATGGGCAGACACCGTCAGCACAAGGACTTGCGCTGCTAACAGCGTGCTTGGTAGCTTCAGCCCAGGGAGCTCCCGCGATGACCAAGCAAACCCAGGCGCTGAGCTGAGGCCAGCCCCTTTTCCCACGGTGCCCGTGGCACGGCGCACTCCCGAGGCCCGCAGAGAGCAAGGCACCTCTTACAGAGCAGAGTGTTCTCAACCTTTCTTTCCCCTCAGTTTACTGTTTTAAGCTTCTTGTTCGGTAGTTCCTGGTGATTCTTGGCTTGTTTCCGTTTCTGGCATGGCTCTTCCTTGTTCTCACCAGCAGCCAGTTTGTCTAAGACTATAGCAGCCTCCTTTAGAAGCCGCATCTCCCGTTTTTCCTTCCGCTCCTCCATTTCTACTATGTCATCTGCAAACAAAGCCTTCAGAGGCGGGATCAGCTTCGGGATGGTTGGAAAGTCACCAAAACGTACCTGAAATACATCAAGCACAAGAGCACCTGTGTGAGAACTGGTTTTTGTTTTCCCTCCTCTCCCCCTGTCTTTTGCCTGACCAAATGTCAGGGCACTGCCTCTTCCTCTGCACAGCACCCAGCACTGAGGAGCCCTAGTGATGATTTTCAGCTGTGGTGACAGTAGCAGGCAGGTCATAGTTTTCAACTCTACAGCAGTCATTTATTTACATTTCCTTCACAAGAAATGATGTGGACACTGTACAAGTTTTGATCGATTAGTGAGCTATGCTGCTATGACTGCTTTCAATTCAATGGCAGCAGCTTTTGGCTCCTGGATGTCTTCTGCAGAAAGCCATTCAAGTAGCACACCAGTTGAGAAGCAAGTGGAAGCAAAATCAGCTTTTCAGTTGGGTGTGCTGTGCGCAGAATAGAGGTGACAGGAGGCAAGTAACCAGTATGTTAAGGGTGAACTTCTGTTCTCAAGAGCCATCAGCACCTGTCTCACTCTCTGCCACCCTTTCACCACCTTGGT